CTTTCATCTCTAAACATTCCCTCTCTCTGACTTATCCACTGGTACCAGCTATTCCCTATTTTAAAGTATTTTGAATCTTCCTTATCCTGTAATTTTAGGGTTAATTTATCCATCTCTGCGCATACATAGATTTTCTGTATTACTTCCTGATCAGTTGGCAAACGGTCTATTTTCCAAAGTTGTGCCAACGCTAATCTTGCCGCTGTTATAATGTGGAGTATTAGGTATTTTATGTCCTTCCTAATATTCTTATTGATCATGCCGAGTAAAAAGACTTCAGGTGTTAATTCAATTTCGTGATTTGTTATCTCTAATATCCATGTTTTTATTTTGTTCCAGTATTTTTTGATTTTTGGGCAAAGCCACCAAGCATGGTAAAAAGTTCCCTGCGCTTTTTTACATTTCCAGCAGGCCGGGTTCACATTTGGATACATTTTTGCTAACCTTGCGGGTGGCAGATACCATCGGTACCACATTTTATAATGATTTTCTTTGTATGATACTGATTTTGTCATTCTATAGTTATCTTCCCATGCTCTTTCCCAATCTTCTAATTGTATATTATGCCCTATGTTCCTCGCCCAGGCTATCATCTGCCCTTTGACCAACTCTTCTGCCAGATCGAATTCGAGTAAATATTTGTAGATTTTTGAAATTAATTTCCCTTCTTTTGATTCTAATAGTTTGTCTAATCGATTTTGTTTTAAATCTATTCCTTCTTCTTCTTGATCTTTTCTGAATCTTACTTTTATTTGCGAGTAGGGCCACCAGTCTATTCCTATTCCTTGTTCTTTGAGCTCTTCCCTAGTTTTCAATTTCCCCTGAACATCTACTATTTCTCTGTATCTTAGAATCTTTTGTTTTGATAATATGTTGGGGTGAGTTATTGCTTCTATAGTCGATAGCCAGCCGGGAATTTTCATGTAGTGTTTTTGTTTAATTTGTAGCCATGTGTTAATTAAAGATCTCCTAATTGTATGGTTATTAAAATGTTTATATATTTTATTTCCTGAACTCCATATAAAAGCGTGCCATCCCTTCATTAAATCATGCCCTTCTAAATTTAACAATCTTTGATTATCTAAGGTTATCCAATCTTTAATCCATAATAAACTGGCGGCCTTGTAATATTTATCCCATGCCGGGAGTCCAAATCCACCTCTACTTTTATCATCTTGTAGTATATTCAATTTTATTCTTGATTTCTTCCCTCCCCACACGAATTTTTTTGTTATTTTATCCAAATTATCAAAGAATTTCTTATCTAATTTTATTGGAACTGTTTGGAATAAATAAAGGAGTCTTGGCAGTATGTTTGATTTTATTGCTGCTATTTTCCCCAATAAAGACAATTTTAGTTTCCCCCATTTTTCTAAATCTTCCTTTATTTTCTGGACTAAAGTATCATAATTGTCTTCTTTTATTGTTGTCGTTTTGGCCGTCAAATTTATCCCTAGGTATTTAACTTTTTTAACTGTCTGCAGACCGGATTCTTTTACTAATTTCTCTACCTGTTTTGTTGTCATGTTTTTTGTTATCATTTTTGTCTTTTCTTTATTAATTTTTAAACCTGCTACCTTTCCAAATTTTTCAATCTCTTTTATTAATTTTGGTGTTGTTTCTAATGGGTTTTCTACGAAAAAAACAAGGTCGTCTGCAAATGCTTGGACCTTGTAATCCTCTCTCTTGATCTTTAGTCCTTGAATTTCTTTATTTGCTCTAATTCTGATTAGTAAATTTTCCAATGTTAAAATAAATAGTAAAGGGGAGAGTGGACATCCCTGCCTTACTCCCTTATTTATTCCAAAAAATTTTGTTGGGTCACCATTCACCAAAACACATGCTTTCTGATTCTGATATATCGATGTTATCATTTTAGTGAATCTTTCTCCAAAATTCATACTTTTGATTTGTTGCTTCATAAATTGCCAATTGACTTGGTCAAACGCTTTTTGTGCATCCAGAAAGATCAGTGCTACCTGTCTCTCTGGATGCACCTCATAATATTCTAAAACATCCAATGCTATTCTTAAATTGTTTTTTATCTGCCTTGTAGGCAGAAAACCATTTTGGTCCTGGTGTATTTTATTTTGTAATATTATTTTCATCCTATTGGCAATTATACTCATGAAAACTTTATAATCGGTATTCAACAAAGAAATCGGCCTGTAATTTTTTATTAATGTGGTATCTGTCCCCTCTTTAGGTATTAAGGAAATATATGCTTCTTTCCATGTGTTGGGTAGCTTTGCCTCCATTAGGGCCTCATTATATATTTCTTACAGTATTCCATTTAATGGATCTCCAAATGTCTTATAGAATTCTATTGGTAAACCGTCTGTCCCCGGGGTTTTGTTATTTTTTTGCCTCTTCAGTGCCTCTTTTAATTCCCCCATCGTAATCTCCTTATTTAATAATTCTCTTTCTTCCTCTGTTAGTATTTGCAATCCCTCCCCTTTTAAATAATATTCGATTTCCTCCTCTGTTGCTATATCCTTTTCGTACAATTTTTGATAATATTGGACTATTATGTCTTTTTTTCCCTCTAGAGCCCATTGAATCCTTCCCTCATCATCTCGTAATTTCTGAATTGTTCTTTTTTCTCTTTCCTTCCTCAGCCTATACGCCAGCCATCTCCCTGGTTTGTTTGCGTTTTCGAAATAGTTTTGTCTTGTATATTTCAATGCTGTTACATAATTCCCCTGCTCTAATATGTTTAGGTTATGTTTTGCTGTTAACCAATTTAACCTTGTTTTTTCATCCCCTGGGTTTCTTTGCAAATTACATTCCCAATTTTGAATTTCTTCTAATAATTTATTATATTCTTTCTCTCTCTCTTTTCTCCGTTTTACATTATATGATATCGTGAGGCCTCTTACATATGCTTTGGTTGTATCCCATAGGTTTTGTAGGGAAGTTTGTTGCTTTGTGTTTTCCTTATAAAACCATTCTAGCTCCTTTTCTATGTAATTCTTATACTCTTTTTCTTGCAGTGTCTGTGTGTTCATAGTCCATCTATTCTTCTTTCTCTGCTGGCCTCTCCACTTCATCGTTATCGGGTTGTGGTCAGCCCAATTATTTGGTAAAATATCTACTTCTTCTATTTCCGTTATTAACATCTTAGTTACCCAAACCATATCCAACCTTGACCATGATTTATGCGGATTCGAATAATATGTATACTTTCTTGCTTCGGGGTTAAGACATCTCCAGCTATCTACCATATCTAACTCTTCCACCATATCCATAAAGGTTTTAGGTAATATATTTTTTTTATTTTTGTTTTGCTGACCACATTCATAGTCTTTTCTTACATCTAAGATTGCGTTAAAATCCCCAATCAAACAGACATTCTCCATTTTTTGTTCTATAATTTTCTCATGCACTTTTTTGTAGAATTCTAATTGTTGACTATTTGGGGCGTATATTACTACCAATAATATCTTTTTGAGGTCAAGATTTAGCTCTACCATGACTATCCTACCTTCTGTATCCGCATACCTCATATTACTGTCTATTCCTTCCTTAATATATACCACCACTCCTTTTTTTTTTCCCTCTGCCAATGAAGCGTATTCTTTACCTAATTTTTTATATTGTATATATTTAATATCCTGTTTTCTTATATGTACCTCCTGGAGGCACACAATGTCTGATTTTTGTTTCAAAATTTTTTTGTAAGTTTGGTGTCGTTTGGATGGTGAGTTGAGTCTATTAACATTTACAGATAGTATTTTTAAAGTCCGTTCCATTTTTTTTTTTTATTGACTTTCCTGTTGTTTCTTCTTTATTTCTTCCTGTTCCTTTTTTTTACCTCTTGTCTGCACTCCTTCCTCTTCCTGGGTCTCTTCTTCATCTACTTTCCCTCCTTGTTGTGGTGTTCTTTCCCGATCTCTCTTCTGTTTTCCTTTGATATTTCGTCCTTCTTCTTCTCTATTACCATTTGTTGCTTCAGCACCCATCATTTGGTCATATAGTTCTTTTGCTTTGCTGTGCGAGTCCACCTTGATTTTCTTTCCCTGCCACGTTATTAACATTCCTTCCGGGGTTATCCATTTAAATGGTATATATCTTCTGTTTAGTAACGTGGCCAGGAACCAATAATCTCTTCGCAAATCTCGTATTCTTTTAGGTACTTGCTTTAGGGTGATTATTTCTTTATTTCTATAATACATTGGTTCATCCTTTGTTATCTTATATACAATATCCCTCACCTTCCTTCTTACAAATCTTATGTGTACCTCTCGAGGGAGTTTGTTTTGTCGTGCATAGTTAGTGTGGACTCGGTAAACTTCGTCTAGTTCATTAATTATCTCGTCTTTTTCTCTCTGGAGTGCCTCTGCTATCATCTCAGCCATTACCATCGTCAGATCTTCCTCCCGGTCTTCCGCTACGTTCTGAAAACGCAAATAGAATGCTGCCTTCTCCATTTCTAATTGGGCCACGGTGTTCTCAAGTTCCTTATTTAATCCTGTCATTTTTGTATCTAATGCTTCTAGTTTTTCTTCCGTCAATTCAGTTTTTTGTTCTATTTCTTTTATCCTTTGGTCATTTTTTTGAATGATTTCTTGTATTAAGTCCATTTTTCCATCAATCTTTTGAATGTCATTCTTGACTTCTCTCTTTACCTCGTCCATGTCTTTTCTGGATTGTTCATGGTTTCTGGTCATACACTCTTGCATTTTGGCCATAGTTTCCTGAATTGTTATGAGCGTGGCCTGCATTGTTGGCATATTAGGTGTGCTGGGTTGCTTGTCTGATGCAAACATTCCCTCCAAGGTTTTCTGTGTCACTGGGGAGGCCGTTGTTCCTGTTAAAAATGGTGTTGGCTTCTTAGCTGTTTTCAACGTGGTTGTGGTAGTGCTAGTCATTTCTTTCAAAATCTTGTATTGTTCTCCCAGTATTTTATCAACTTTCTCCCAAGTCACCATCCAAATTTCTATAATTTCTATAATTCCTTTCTTTTCTTTTCTCTTTTTCCCCCCTCTCCTTATAAAAGATCAATCCAATAAACCTTCTTTAAATAGATAAATTCTTTTAAATAATTAATTCTCTCTATGTAAAGTTATATATAATTCAGTTAAGAATGTGATAAGAATATAGATATAAATATAAATATAAATATGAGTATAAATATTGCTACCAGTATAAATATATATATAAATAAATATCTTATCTAATTAAAGACTATAATCAATTAAAGACAATTAATCAATTCTTAGTATCTTAATATCTAGTAATTAATTATTCAATAAAATCCACAAACATAAAATATTCTAATAATATATACTGGTTAATATATAATAATTAATTAATTAATCGTAATATAATGCTCTAATAATAATACTTCTAAATCTCTATGTATTATAAATATTTTCTAAACTAATTAGGTATACTCTATATTTCTTAATTGATTAATTCCAATAAATAACATTAATATTAATTCATCTATACTTAAGTAAAGAAAATAATGATAAGTTGGAGCAGTGCTTTTCAATGTTTTTGTTGGCCTCAATATGTTTTCAATAAAGAGGAAAAAAAAAAAAAAACAAGTTCTTTTACAACTGTTGAAGTCTTTTCCGGTTACAGTATGGCGGCCTCTATTCTGCACAGTCACTGTATGTAATCCTTACTTTGCCAAGATTTTCTCACTCCTTCCGCTCAGGCAGCTAGCAGCGGGGGTAAAAAAAAAAAAAAAAAAAAGAGTCCATTCTTCTTTTAATCTCCTCTGTTTAAGTTATTTCTCCTCACCTTCGTTTGTCTATTTTAAAGTTTTTAAAACTTTCTTCGCTGCTCCGTATTTTGCCCCTTCCTCTTTGCTCGCCTTTTCAGTTGCCGCCCGGTTCCACTTTGAGATCTTCCTTCTTCACGCTGTCCCTTCGGAAAGAAAAGAAACTTTCTCCTCGGTTTTGCGCCAAAATTAATAGTCCAAATTAGTTCCGTTTCTGTTCGACCTCAGCAGTTCTGCACTGTACTCCCTCCTTTACTCCCAGTGATCTCAATCGGCTCGTTCGAGTCTCCGGGCCGACTGTGCTCACCGCGCCAGCCGACTTCTTCCCGAGCCTGGATTGAGGGCTCTTTACGGTACGGCGGGAGATCGCACCTCTCCTCGCCTCCCCCAAAGCTTCCCCTCTTTATTCCCGGTCTCTTCGGGACCGGTCTCCGCCAAAAACAGGCACCAAAGCTCGGAAAATCGGCAACAGAGAGAGAGCGCTTCTCTTCTGTGCCGCCACGACTCTTACGTCCCCAGCCAGGATCCCTGCCTCCTTTTTCCAATGTGTTGGAATGATAGCAGGAACCATTGGCAGGACGTTTTCATCCTTAGGTCCTCTTTAACTGGAGACGGTCTGCTTTTGTGCATGAATTCCAGATTAGAATAGAATCACAGAGTTGAAAGGGACCTTGGAGGTCTTCTAGTCCAACCCCCTGCTTAGGCAGGAAACCCTACAGCACTTCAGACAAATCGTTATGCAATCTCTTCTTTAAAACTTCCAGTGTTGGAGCGTTCACAACTTCTGGAGGCAAGTTCTTCCACTGGTTCATTGTCAGGAAATTTCTCCTTAGTTCTAAGTTGTTTCTCTCCTTGATGAGTTTCCACTTGTTGCTTCTTTTGTCCTGCCCTCAGGGGCTTTGGAGAATAGCTTGGCTCCCTCTTCTTCTATCTTGGAACAAGAATTCTCCTGGATCAAATAGAGGCCATGTAGTTGCTTCTTAAAAACAAATTTGTCAATTATTGAATCCATATAGAGAATTTATTAGAATCCTGGATTTATTTTTACAACTAAGGCGGAGAAGACATGCAGCAAACTAAAGGGGAATATTTGGAGCTCAGGGTTGCCATGAGGGGGTCTCTCTCCCTTCTAGCGATGTTAGTTTGGACAATGAAACGTCTGCAAAAAGAGGAGCCCCTTCCCCCCTCACGTCCAGCACAGCTTGATCGTCTCTTCCCCCAACACCAACCCTGTGAGGTGGGCTGGACTGAAAGAGCAGCTGATTTCAAACTCAGGGTCTCCTAAGGTCCCAGAATAGACCCAACTGGCTGCCCTTCATCGACTGATATAAGGTCGCAGGCCCAGAAGAGCCCCTGACCTCCCCCTCCCTCAATATGGAGGTGGGGGGAGGAGACTGGACTCCAAAGTTCAAAGGGAGCCCCCCCCCACCGTCCCACCTCCGCCCCGGACCGTAATAACCCGTGGCACCGCGCAGGCGCCATCTGGCTTGTTGAAGGAAGGACGCTGATTGGTCGAGCTCGGGATTTCGGCGATTGACGAATGGACTCTGAGGAGCAGATCCTCCAAAGGAAAAGGCGGAACTAGTGGAGAAAAAAGGGCGTGAAGCCTCCACTTCCGGAAACAAAATGGGCAACAAGGGAGCTACCTGAATCAGCGACAGAGGAGGCCGTATGATGCAGGTTTGGCGCAAGGGATGCTTGTAGGGTCTCTTTCGGGTCTGCTTGAGGCGGGGGCTTGGGCCTGGGCCTCCCCTGTGGGGAAGGGGAGACAGCCGTGACCCTCTTCTCTTTCTCCCCTGCATGAGGACGGAGGATGGTGGCGGATGCAGGAAAGAGGCGCCGGCCGAGAGGAGGGGGAGGAGAGCGGGCCCCGCAGAGCAGCCCTGCCCGGTCCCAGCACGGCTTCCCCGGGAGACGGCAGGGAAAGGCTGGGGGCTCCATGGCTGCAGGAGGGAGGAGCCCAGGGGGAGCCCGGGAAAGGCGGCTGCCTGGAGGGCGATGTGGGGAGGAGGAAAAAGGCGGAGACCCTGAGATGGGCCTGGAGGGCGGAGGCTCCTTCAGAAGACCCCCAAATCCCGGAAGGATCCAGGAGGAAGCAAAGGAACATCAGTGCCCAGAATGTTGGAAAACCTTCAAAATATACGGAGATCTTCAAAGGCATCTAAGAATCCACACAGGAGAAAAACCTCATAAGTGCCTGGAGTGTGGAAAGAGCTTCAGTCAGAGGGGAGATCTTTATAAACATCAAAGGATCCACTCAGGAGAAAAACCTCATAAATGCTTTGAGTGTGGAAAGAGATTCAGTCAGAGGGGATATCTTTATACACATCAAAGGATCCACACAGGAGAGAAACCTCATAAATGCCTTGAGTGTGGAAAGAGATTCAGTCAGAGGAGATATCTTTATATACATCAAAGAATCCACACAGGAGAAAAACCTCATAAATGCTTTGAGTGTGGAAAGAGATTCAGTCAGAGGGGACATCTTTATGTACATCAAAGAATCCACACAGGAGAAAAACCTCATAAATGCTTTGAGTGTGGAAAGAGCTTCAGTCAGAGGAGATATCTTTATATACATCAAAGAATCCACACAGGAGAAAAACCTCATAAATGCCTTGAGTGTGGAAAGAGATTCAGTCAGAGGGGACATCTTTATATACATCAAAGAATCCACACAGGAGAAAAACCTCATAAATGCCTTGAGTGTGGAAAGAGATTCAGTCAGAGGGGACATCTTTATATACATCAAAGGATCCACTCAGGAGAAAAACCTCATAAATGCCTTGAGTGTGGAAAGAGATTCAGTCAGAGGAGATATCTTTATATACATCAAAGAATCCACACAGGAGAAAAACCTCATAAATGCTTTGAGTGTGGAAAGAGATTCAGTCAGAGGGGACATCTTTATGTACATCAAAGGATCCACACAGGTGAAAAACCACATAACTGCTTTGAGTGTGGAAAGAGATTCAGTCAGAGGAGATATCTTTATATACATCAAAGAATCCACACAGGAGAAAAACCTCATAAATGCTTTGAGTGTGGAAAGAGATTCAGTCAGAGGGGACATCTTTATATACATCAAAGAATCCACACAGGAGAAAAACCTCATAAATGCCTGGAGTGTGGAAAGAGCTTCAGTCAGAGGAGATATCTTTATATACATCAAAGAATCCACACAGGAGAAAAACCTCATAAATGCTTTGAGTGTGGAAAGAGATTCAGTCAGAGGGGACATCTTTATACACATCAAAGGATCCACTCAGGAGAAAAACCTCATAAATGCCTGGAGTGTGGAAAGAGCTTCAGTCAGAGGAAATATCTTTATAAACATCAAATGATCCATTCTGGAGAGAAACCTCAAAAGTGCCTGGAGTGTGGAAAAAGCTTCAGTCAGAGAATCACCCTTTATAGACATCAAAGAATCCACTCAGGAGAAAAACCTCATAAATGCCTGGCGTGTGGAAAGAGCTTCAGTCGGAGAGGATATCTTTATAGACATCAAAGCATCCACTCAGGAGAGAAACCTCATAAATGCCTGGAGTGTGGAAAGAGCTATACTGAGCGTAGTAGCCTCAATCGACACCAAATAATTCACGTGGGAGAAAAATGATAAACACGCCTGAGTGTGAGAAGACCTTCAGTCACGGTGTATCTCAGGAATTGAATTGAATTGTATATTTAATTTGTCCAAATGTGAATAGACACCCTAGGAATTCACCTAGTGCATATTCATGATCATTATAATAATTCCAATAAGAGGAATTATTGGTCTTTACTCCAAATGAGTAAAGAAGACAATAAGGGTAAATAATAATTGCCAAATAAAGGACTTTCTCAGGCTGAATAATAAAGGACTTTTTCAATTGTACATGCTAGATTTTTCAACTGGTCTAAATTGTACCTTTTCACAAGAGACATGCCATTTCCCATGTGAATGTTCTTTTAATGCAAGTCCCATTTTAGTGGTTATGATTAATATTATGGGATGTTACTGTCCATGTCTCTGATGTAACTGTAACTTGAGCAGGGTGATTTCTTCCATGCAATCAGCTCTTGTTTTGTATTTTTTCCCCCTACTGTATGGAGTATAAAATGAAACCCGATTCTGTGTCCTGGATTCCCTCTTTTCATTAAGGGAAATCTCTTTGCTACAATATTCTAATAAATTGCCTTTAAATTTACAGTCCCAGACTGTATCTCAGGAATTGAACTGAATTGAATTTTTAATTTCGCCAACTGCGAATAGACACACAAGGAATTTGTCTCGAGTTCACAAGCTCTCAGTGTATGTACAAAGCATCAGAATAATGATATAATTATAACAATTCGAATAAGAGGAATTATTTATTTATCTTTTCTTCAATTGAGTAAAGAAGAGTTAATAATAACTGCCAAATAAGGGACTTTCTCAGGATGAATAATAAAGGACTTTTTCTATTGTCCCTGCCATGATGGATCTGAAATGTCAGGTGCTCTTTAATCGTATATTTATAAGCTGCTTAGAAGGTTTCACTTTCTAACCAATTATACCAATTATTCCATATTTTATAATAGTCTGATTCTTCTTTTTCTTGTAATTCTTTGGTTAACCTATCCATAATTGGTTAAAAATTAGAAATATACAAAAAATATAGGGGATATATTACCGATTGATACATATATATGTAATAAAAATATTATTAGATTACAGAAAGGTGAAGGAATATATTATAAGTAGAATTGTAGAACGTCACTCTGAAAAAATGCTTAAGAAGAAATTATATTCTTTTTGTGTATATGTTGTATAAATGTTCGTTGTGTATATGTTACGTATGTCTTTTTTAATATTTATATTCAATAAAAACTATTTTAAAATTAGAAGGTTTCACTTTCATTTTTACTGCTTGCCCTTCCCCCTCACACTTAGAGGCTGAGGGTACAGATGCATTTCTCTTCAAACAATCATACAGTTTGTAGTCTATGTACAGTATATTTGAAGAAAAATGGGGAAAAGGAATATTCCTGCCCTTGCTTTATGAGTTATCTCATGGTTACTGTGAAACTCTGTGGATGTATCAATACAGTGCATGTTATTTCAGCTTGCGGTGCTTGGATTCATTGAATGAGTTTACCCAAAATGTAAATATTGCAGAATATACAGCTTCATGCTACATAACTAAGCTCCATTTCAACCTGAATAAACTACATTATTAATGTATCTTAAATGGAAAATTATCTTTATGATTCTTGATGAACATATCTTTTCTTTTATGTACACTGAGAGCATATGCACCAAGACAAATTCCTTGTGAGTCCAATCACACTTGGCCAATAAAAAATTCTATTCTATTCTATTCGAATATCCCAACTTTTTCTATTGTGTGGAGTATAAAAAGAAACCCGATTCTGTGTCCTAGATTCCCTCTTTTCATTAAGGGAAATCTCTTTGCTACAATATTCTAATAAATTGCCTTTAAATAGTCATCCCTCTCAGTGCCTAAGTGAAGCAAGTGTGCCGTGGCTGAATCTAGGGCTAATTTGGCCTCCATTGTTGGGGGTGTGAACTGTCCATACCATGTAAGACCCTCCCCAGACATCAAAAACTCTTGTCAGTTGGATTCTCTCAAAGGTCCCCTTGTCTTCCAGCAGAAACTGCTAAAGGGACTCTCTAAGGCCAAGGAAGCTTTGTGAGATACGAGCCGGATTCTCAAAGGGCCTCCAGCCTTTCAGCCTTCAACACCCGGCTTTTCCCCAGGCGCTGGGAGATCAGACAAGGAGAAGTTGGCATGGATTGGCGCCTGGATTTTCTGTTTTTATTTTCCATGTTTTAATGTGTTGTATTGTTTTTAAAACAGCTTTTGGGGAGCTGCAGTGAGTTGACTGAAGAATGTTTTAAATGACTCATGGGGGACCTCTTTGATCCCCCACGAGGTGCAGAGACTGGGTGTCCCCCAGTTGTCAGGATAAAGTCCCCCATTACTAGGCTTTCTCTTCATCAGCTAAATCGGCGTCCGCCTTCCTTCAAGCAGCCAGAGGGCGCCTGCACAAGTCCCGAGTCCCGCGTAGAGGTGAGGCAGGGGGGGCTCCCTTTCATCTTTGGGGTCCGGTCTCTCCTTCGGGGGGGCCCCTCCCGCATTCTGACAGGCAGAGGTTGAGGGGCCCTTCTGGGACTGGGACTCCCCCACCCCCATCCAGGCTCCCTCCCTAGGCAAGGTGGGGGGGGAGGTTGGAGGGGCACCCAGGCAGGTAAGAGGCCAAATGGGCATTTTCACCCTTGCAATACAACTCTGGTAAATTGGCTGCAAATAGAGGGAGGATTTCCCAGAGTCCAGGAGCCCTCCAGAAACCAACCCACCTCTTGGAAGGCACCTTCACTCTGATAACTGACGGTAACTGGCAGTTGAGCCTGCATGGGTGAGGTCATGAAGCCCTCAGAATTCCCCCAGAGATGGCAGGCCTCCCTTGGCCTCCTCCCAAGGCTCACCTGCTCCGCCTTTTCCACACCCACCAGTGCCAGGCAAATGTCTGAAGGAGGCGACCAAACCAATCTCTCAAGCTGCCCAGTTCTCCTATTTTGGCACAAAAGGCAGATTTTTGTATGTAGACTGCCTCTGTCAAGGGAAGCTCCACTCTTTTTTTTTATTTTTTGAGAAAAAAATTATTTTTATTTTTAAACAAACAATTCATCATTAATCAATCAGTGTAACATCTTGGTACAAAATTTATTTAAAAATTTAAACAACGTTTATCTGTTCAAATGTTCAAAGATAAATCAGCTGAATGTTGGAAATGCCACCAGACATGGGGATGTACTATCACATGTGGTGGACGTGTCCAGAAGCGAGAAATTATTGGGCACAATAATCACAAAAACTGATACAGCAACACATTGATCTTAAACTGGTGTTTTGTTTTGGAATTTATTGGCCTCGCAGCACACCGAACCGTTTGTTAAATTGCTGGCTCGCCCCGCCCCTCGCCCCTCCCACCCGCGCGGCGTCGGCCTATCCTAGCCCAGGGCGGGGCAATTGTGGCTCTTAGGCCACCTGTGGACTTCAACTCCCGCCTGGCCCAGTCGTGGAGAATTCTGGGAGTTGAAGTCCACCAGTCTTAAAGCTGCAGAGTTTGAAGGCCTCTGTTTTGTATGGAATAAGCAGCCGCGGCTATTTCCCGAGAAACGTCTCCCTGTCCTTCCTTCCTTCCTTCCCATCCCAGAAACCGAGGGGGAATTAATTTCCCGCTGGCTCTGACCAACGTAAAGCGGCCGCTTCCGAGTCGGCCTCTTTTGCGTGGGCGGAGGTGGGTCTCCCCCCGTCAGGCAGGGACGCCGTTCCTCAGGCGGTGGCAGGAGCGGGCAAACGGAATCCCTCCGGCGGCCACAATCGGGGCGGCTCTCTCGGGGCGCCATGGCGTTCCCTTGCCTGCTGAGGGGCAGCGCTGAGGGACGCCGAAGCGAGGTCGGAGTCGGCTCCACCGCGGAGGCCGGGAGAAAGCGGGGCCGGGTGGATGGATCGACCGAAGCGAGGCAGCGAATCTGCGGAGAGAGCCAGGCCCGCCGACCTGCGAGAGGCCAGAACTGCCGCTTGGGCCGCTGATTGGAGCCAAGTTAGGCTGGCTCAGCCCCCCCCCCCCAATCCTGAGCTGCTGCCTCAGCGCAGAAAGAGGGGCGATCCTGAAGTTGCGCCACATCAAGGCAGATCCCAATCCAGATCGCGCTCTGAGTGTTGCCACCGAAGTTCCTCCAAAACTAGGGGAGATGCAGCCTTAGGAAGAGAGGAAAAGGCTCTGGGCGGAAAGCCGGGGGGTGGGGGGGGCTTTGCTTTCCCATCTTCTCAGGCTCTGGAGGATTTCAGGAGCTGAACTGGGCTTGCTTGCCAATACCAGAATTAGGGAGTTGGAAGGGACCTTTGGAGGTCTTCTAGTCCAGAGGTCTCCAACCTTGGCAACTTTCTCTGCCTGGGCCTGATGCTTCCTGAGAGGCAGGGGGTCTCTCCGAATGGGACCCCCTCCCCAAAAGGCTGGCCCCAAAGCCCTAGCTCAGAGGCCTTCAAACTTGGCAGCTCTAAAACTTGTGGACTTCAACTCCCAGGATTCTCTAGCCAGCATAGCTGGCTGGGGAATTCTGGGAGTTGAAGTCTGCCAGGCTTAAAGTTGCCAAGGCTGGAGATCTCTGGACTAGAAGATAAATGATGGCATAAATGATGACCGGTCAAAAGTGCGAGGACCTGTCAGAAATCACTTTTTTCAGCCCTCTGGGTAGTCCCTATGTGCACATGGACTACTCAGAGGGCTGAAAAAGTTATTTTTGACCGGTCGTCTCACTTTTGACCAGTCCTCGAACTTACGACTGTCCTCACGTTTTACATTTTTGCCCTATCTTGTCACCATGGTGAAGAGAAGCAGTTGTGAAATGCGTGACACAGTTGTTAAGAATGCTGCACGGGCATAAATGATGACCAGTCATAACTGCGAAGACCGGTCAAAAGTGCGAGGACCTGTCAGAAATCACTTTTTTCAGCCCTCTGGGTAGTCCCTATGTGCATATGGACTACTCAGAGGGCTGAAAAAGTTATTTTTGACCGGTCGTCTCACTTTTGACCAGTCCTTGAACTTTTTTTTTTTTTTTTAAAAAAATTTGATTTATATGCCGCCCTTCTCCGGAGACTCAGGGCAGCTTACAATGCGTTAAGCAATAGCCTTCATCCTTTTGTATATTTATACAAAGTCAGCTTATTGCCCCCACAAACTAGGTCCTCATTTCACCTACCTTAGAAAGGATGGAAGGCTGATTCAACCTTGAGCCTTGGAGAGATTCGAACCAGCAGTAATTGCAGGCAGCTGTGTTAATAACAGGGTGCTTAGACCATTGTACTATCAAGGCTCTTACGACTGCCCTCACATTTTACCTTTTACCTTTTACCTATCTTGTCACTGTGGTGAAGAGAAGTAGTGATGAAATGACTGACACGGTTGTTAAGAATGCCGCAACGGACATAAATGTGAGGAAGGTCATAAGTGCGAGGACTGGTCAAAAGTGCAAGGACCTGTCAGAAATCACTTTTTTCAGCCCTCTGGGTAGACCCTATGTGTATATGGACTACTCAGAGGGCTGAAAAAGGTATTTTTGACAGGTGCTCGCACTTTTGACCAGTCCTTGAACTTACGACTGTCCTCACATTTTACGTTTTGCGCCCTATCTTGTCACCGTGGTGAAGAGAAGTTGTTAAGAATGCAACGGACATAAATGTGAGGATGGTCATAAGTGCGAGGACCAGTCAAAGTGCGAGGATCAGTTAGAAATGACTTTTTTCAGCCCTCTGAGTAGTCCCTATGCATATAGCCACGCCTACCCGGTCACATGACCAGGTAGCCATGCCTACCCGGTCACATGACCAGCTAGCCACACCCACCCAGTCACATGATCACCAAGCCACACACCCCCAACTAAGCCACACCCACAGAACTGGTTGTTAAAAAAATTGGAAGGAAGGCTATTGCTATAGTGCATTGTAAGCTGCCCTGAGTCTTTGGAGAAGGGCGGCATATAAATTGAACTAATAAATAAATAAAATAAATAAAATTGGAAAGCAGAAAAAATTCCTACAAAGGGAGAGCTAATTAAGAAAATATTAGAATGTGCAAAAGTGAATAGATTAACATTAGCAATTAGTGGGAAGGAAGAATCTGAGTGTTACAGCATATGGGGGAAATTTTATCAATGGATAGAGACTGAATATAGACAATAGGCAATGTAAAAATAAGAAATATGGGGGAAATATGTTTATTTCATACATTAAATTCACAATACATTAAATTCAAATGTAAGAAGAAAGATAATTACCACCTTTAAAGCGCTCCATGGCATCGGACCTGGGTATTTGCGGGACCGCCTTCTGCCACCGATAGCCTCCCACCGGCCAGTACGCTCCCACAGAGAGGGACTCCTCAGGGTGCCGTCAGCCAGGCAATGTCGTTGGGACCCCCAGGGGGAGGGCCTTCTCTGTGGCAGCCCCCGCCCTCTGGAACGATTTGCCCCCGGAGATACGAAGGATTTCAGATCTCCGGGCTTTTCGCCATGCCCTCAAAACTTTTCTCTTCCATCAAGCAGGGCTGGCGTGAACCCCCCCCCCCGCCGCCGTTTTTGAGATATTAGATTTTTAATTGTTTAATGGGTTTTAGTAGTAAGGTTCTTAAATTTTCGGCCAATGGGTATAATTCTTTTAAATTTTTAAATTTTAAATTTTGTATTGGATGTTTTTTACTTGGCTGTGCACCGCCCTGAGTCCACTAGGAGAAGGGCGGTATACAAATTTAATAAAAATAAATAAATAAATAATTATGTACTAAGAAAATGATGATACACGTTGAATATGATGACATGGAAGCTCCACTCATTAATGTAGCTCTGGATAAACTTCTCATCACACCCTTTGTGTTGCCATGTTGTTTTGTGCTTTTTTCCATCATCCCAGGTGAGCTCCAAACATTATTTCTGCTTAGGTGAGGCATCTTTTTCTGAATCCCAAAGTAATACAGCAATCCAGGACAAAATCCTGTTTCCCTTGAATGAGTTCTACCAAAACAAAATATTGCATAGCTTTGAAGGGAAAAAATAATAAGGATATAATAAAGAATACTAGAATATGATATACTGGTATTCCAGATTCTGTAACCATGAGGTTCCTGTAATACATATATGCCTTTGCATTTGTATCACATATATTATGCCTTTATGTATCTCCTGTAACAAACACATTCTGTTATTAGGCCTCTGCAATGTATCTGGTATTTGTCAAACATTTGTTCCTGCCATTTGATCTGAACCAATATCCATCTTCTTCCTGTTTTTCTCCTCCCATCTAAGAGCATGGTAGGCATCTCAGCTGGAACTCCAGACATCATCATCCGAGGGATAATTTACACTTCAGCCCTAACTTACACCTTTGATCTGTTCCCTGCAGCCCAGGGGGCCAAATGAGCAATTGGGAGAACAAAGGAAGAGATAAGGCTAATTGGGAGGCTTCTATTCCCTTGCAGGGCAACAAGGAATACACAAAGCTAAACTAGGAGGCCAGAATTGGGTACTAAGCTGATGTCTCTGAGGGTGTAAAAGGACGCCATACCTTCCCCAAGGGGTGCCTATCTCCTCGCATGCATTGTATCTGTATGTTCCGGATATAGTCCCACCCAGTATTTTGTTTTTGGCCATAAATAAAATCTGCTTTTTTTTGCAAGCCTCGTCTTGAGTCTCTCTGGCATTCTGGTGACTCAAGTATATTTTGGGACCTTACAGCTTAATGATGCTGAACCCCCAAAGCACATGACCCTCTTTTGGCCAAGTTCCAAATGTTGAGGGATCCAGCAGTTAAAGGGACCCAGAAAGAAACCAACTTGGATCCTATCAAAATTGCACGATTTTGTTTCATTTTTCCAAAAATGAGCTATTGATTTCTATGAGGAAATTCACCAGCAGGAACCATTGGCAGGAGATTCGGAGCCTCCAGTCCTCTTTAACTGGAGCTGCTCAGCTTTTGTGCAGGAATTCCTAGTTCTTCTACCTAGGAACAAGAATTGTCCTGGATCAAATAGTTGATGCTGCTGAGAAACACACTTGAGAGAGTCACATGGAGAGAGTATAGTTATTTATTTGCAACCTGCCTTTCTTACTTTTACTGATAAGGTGGAGAACAAATCCAAGAAAATGAAGGGGAATATTTGTAGCTGAGGGTTGCCATGAGGGGTCTCTCTCCCTTCTAGCAAAGATGATGTTAGTTTGGGCAATGAAACGTCTGCAAGAAGAGAAGCCCCCAGGAGCCCCTCCCCCCTCACGTCCAGCACAGCTTCCTCCTCTCTTCCCCCAACAACAACCCTGTGAGGTGGGCTGGACTGAAAGAGCGGCTGATTCAAACTCAGGGTCTCCTAAGGTCCCAGAATAGACCCAACTGTCTGCCCTTCATGGACTGGTATAAGGCTGCAGCCCCAGAAGAGCCCCTGACCTCCACTGGCCTCAATATGGAGGTGGGGGGAGGGGGAAGACCGGACCCTAAAGTTCAAAGGGAGCCCCTCCCTTCCCATCTCCCCCCCACTGTAATAAAAATAAAATAAATTAAAATGTAATTAAAATGTAATTAAAAAAAAACCATCAAACAAAAACCTGGTGCTAATCCATGTCACCTTCTCATTGTCTGACCTCCCAGCGCCTGGGGAAAAGCCAGGGGTTTTAAGGCTAAAAGGGTGGGGGCTTTTTAAGAATATGGCTCATATCTCACAAAGCTTCCTTGGCCTTAGAGAGTCCCTTGTAGGGGTTTCTGCTGGAAGACAAGGGGACCATTCAGGGAATCCAACTGAGAGCTTCAGATGCTTGGGGATGGTCTTAATAGGTCCCCACATTTGGGAAATCCACATAGATTATATCAAACAATGACAGGGAGAAGCTCTTCAACAACCCCAACAATAAAGTTCAAATTAGCAATAGATTCAGCCACAGCACAATTGCTCCAATGAGGATCTGAGTGGGAGGAGCATTCAAAGGCAATTTATTAGAATATTGTAGCAAAGAGATTTCCCTCAATGAAAAGAAGGAATGCAGGACACAAAGAGCGGCTGATTCAAACTCAGGGTCTCCGAAGGTCCCACAAGAGACCCAACTGACTGCCCTTCATGGGCTGATATGAATCCTCCCCCCCCTCCGTCCCACCTCCGCCCCGGACCGTAATAACCGGCGGCACTGCGCAGGCGCCATCTGCCTTGTTGCAGGAAGAAGGACGCTGATTGGTCGCGCTCGGGATGTCGGCATTGGGCAGGAGGACTCCGAGGGGCGGATCCTCCAAAGGAAAAGGCGGAACTAGTGGAGAGAAAAGGGCGTGAAGCCTCCACTTCCAGAAACAAAACGGGCAAAGAGGGAAGCTGCCTGAATCAGCGACAGAGGAGGCCATTTAATGCAGGTTTGGCACAGGGGATGCAGGGAATTGAAGTCTGGGAGGGTCTCTCTGGAGAAGGGAGGCTTGGGAGCCTGAGGCCTAGTCTGGGGGCGGGGGGGAGGGAGGCGGGATGATGGGAAGGAGGCCGTGTCCGCCTGGAGAATGCCCAAGAGGCCCGTGGGAGGCAGGGGCCTGGGCCTGGGCCTACGCTGTGGGGAATGGGAGGCAGCCGTGACCCTCTTCTCTTTCTCCCCTGCAGGAGGACGGAGGATGGCGGCGGATGCAGGAAAGAGGCCCCGGCCGAGAGGAGGAGGAGGAGAGGAGGCCCCGCGGAGCAGCCCTGCCCTGTCCCAGAGCGGCTTCCCGGGAGACAGCGGGGAAAGGCCGGGGGGCTCTGGGGCTGCAGGAGGGAGGAGCCCAGGGGGAGCCCAGGAAAGGCGGCTGCCTGGAGAGCATTGCAGGGAGGAGGAAATGGGCGGAGACTCCAAGACGGGCCTGGAGGGCAGAGGCTCCTTCGGAAGACCCCCAATGCCCCGAAGGATCCAGGAGGGAGGAAGGAAACATCAATGCCCCGAATGCGGAAAATCCTTCAAAACAATTGGCCATCTTGAAAGTCATTTAAGGATCCACATAGGAGAAAAACCTCATAAATGCTTTCAGTGTGGAAAGAGCTTCAGTCAGAGGGGACATCTTTATAAACATCAAAGGATCCATTGGGTAGAAAAACCTCATAAGTGCCTGGTGTGTGGAAAGAGCTTCAGTTGGAGGAGCAACCTTTATACACATCAAAGGATCCACTGGGGAGAGAAACCACATAAATACCTTGATTGTGGAAAGAGCTTCAGTAGGAGAGGAAGTCTGCACAGACATGAAAGAATCCATTCAGGAGAGAAACCGTATCAGTGCTGGGAGTGTGGAAAGAGTTTCAGTCAGAGAGGAAATCTTTACATTCATCAAACAATTCACACAGGAGAAAAACCACATAAATGCCTGGAGTGTGGAAAGAGTTTCACTCGGAGAGGAAATCTTTACGTGCATCAAAAAATCCACTGGGGAGAGAAACCTTATCAGTGCCTGGAGTGTGGAAAGAGTTTCAGTCAGAGAGGACAACTTTCCCAGCATCAAACAATCCATTCAGGAGAAAAACCACATAAATGTCTTGATTGTGGAAAGAGCTTCAATTGGAGAGGAACTCTTTATAGACATCAAAGGATCCACACAGGAGAGAAACCACATAAATGCCTTGAGTGTGGAAAGAGCTTCAATCAGAGAGGAAATCTTTACATTCATCAAACAATCCACACAGGAGAGAAACCACATAAATGTCTTGATTGTGGAAAGAGCTTCAGTAGGAGAGGAAGTCTGCACAGACATGAAAGAATCCATTCAGGAGAGAAACCACATAAATGTCTGGAGTGTGGAAAGAGTTTCAGTCAGAAAGAACAACTTTCCCAGCATCAAACAATCCATTCAGGAGAAAAACCACATAAATGTCTTGATTGTGGAAAGAGCTTCAGTAGGAGAGAAACTCTGTATGAACATCAAACAATTCACACAGGAGAAAAACCACATAAATGCCTGGAGTGTGGAAAGAGCTTCAGTCACAGAAGAAAACTTTCCCAGCATCAAACAATCCATTCAGGAGAAAAACCACATAAATGTCTTGATTGTGGAAAGAGCTTCAGTAGGAGAGGAAGTCTGCACAGACATGAAAGAATCCATTCAGGAGAGAAACCACATAAATGTCTGGAGTGTGGAAAGAGCTTCAGTCAGAAAGAACAACTTTCCCAGCATCAAACAATCCATTCAGGAGAAAAACCACATAAATGTCTTGATTGTGGAAAGAGCTTCAGTAGGAGAGAAACTCTGTATGAACATCAAACAATTCACACAGGAGAAAAACCACATAAATGCCTGGAGTGTGGAAAGAGTTTCACTCGGAAAAGAAATCTTTACCTGCATCAAAAAATCCACTGGGGAGAGAAACCGTATCAGTGCCTGGAGTGTGGAGAGAGTTTCAGTCAGAAAGGACAACTTTCCAAGCATCAAATGATCCACTCAGGAGAAAAACCACATAAATGTCTTGATTGTGGAAAGAGCTTCAGTAGGAGAGGAACTCTTTATAGACATCAAAGGATCCACACAGGAGAGAAACCACATAAATGCCTTGAGTGTGGAAAGAGCTTCAGTAGGAGAGGAAGTCTGCACATACATCAAAGAATCCACACAGGAGAAAAACCACATAAATGTCTGGAGTGTGGAAAGAGCTTCAATCAGAGAGGAAATCTTTACATGCATCAAAGAATCCATTCAGAAGAGAAACCGTATCAGTGCCTGGAGTGTGGAAAGTGCTTCAGTCAGAAAGGACAACTTTCCAAGCATCAAATGATCCACTCAGGAGAAAAACCACATAAATGTCTTGATTGTGGAAAGAGCTTCATTAGGAGAGAAACTCTTTATAGACATCAAAGGATCCACACAGGAGAAAAACCACATAAATGTCTGGAGTGTGGAAAGAGTTTCAGTCAGAAAGGACAACTTTCCCAGCATCAGAGGATCCACTCAGGAGAAAAACCACATTAATGCCTGGAGTGTGGAAAGAGCTATATTGAGCATAGTAGCCTCAATCGACACCAAAGAATTCACGTGGGAGAAAAATCATAAACACACCTGAGTGTGAGAAGATCTTCAGTCACGGTGTATCTCGGGAATTGAATTATATATTTAATTTGGCTAAGTGTGAATAGACACCCTAGGAATTCACCTAGTGCATATTCATCATCATTATAATAATTCCAATAAGAGGAATTATTGCTCTTTACTCCAAATGATTAAAGAAGACAATAAGGGTAAATAATAACTGCCAAATAAGGGACTTTCTCAGGCTGAATAATAAAGGACTTTTTCAATTGTACATGCTAGATTGTACAACTGGCTGAAATTGTACCTTTTCACAACAGAGACGCATGATGCCATGTGAATGTTCTTTTAATGCAAGGCTCATTTCAGTGGTTATGCTTAATATTATGGGTTGTTACTGTCCATGTCTCTGATATAACTGTAATTGAGCAGGATGATTTCTTCCAAGGTGGATTTCATTTAAATCACGTTGATTTAAATCATGTCAATTTAAATCATTATGTAAACCGCTATTAAAAAGATTTAAATCAACTTTTTAAATCATAATTTTTTAAAAACAACTGTCATGTCTGTCCCGCACCAGCTCCTCCTCTGAGCCGCTGTTGACTCGCCGACAGTCCCATTTATTTTAATAGGGCGGCTGGTGATGCATCAGTGACACAACCAGGTGAGGGACGTGGCTGGCAGCAGGTGAGTGGATGCCCTCTCACAGGCCCTGCCATGATGGATCTGAAATGACAGGTGCTCTTTAATGTTATATTTATAAGCTGCTTAGAAGGTTTCACTTCCATTTTTACTGCTTGCCCTTCCCCCTCACACTTAGAGGCTGAGGGTACAGATGCATTTCTTTCCAAACAATCATACAGTTTGCAGTCTACATACAGTATATTTGAAGGAAAATGGGGAAAAGGAATATTCCTGCCCTTTGCCTGATGAGTTATCTCATGATTACTGTGAAACTCTGTGGATGTATCAATGCAGTGCATGTTATTTCAGCTTGCGGTGCTTGGATTCATTGAATGAGTTTAGCAGAAATGTAAATATTGCAGAATATACAGCTTCATGCTACATAACTAAGCTCCATTTCAACCTGAATAAACTAAATTATTAATGTATCTTAAATGGAAAATTATCTTTATGATTCTTGATGAACGTATCTTTTCTTTTATGTACGCTGACAGTATATGCACCAAGACAAATTCCTTGTGTGTCCAATCACACTTGGCCAATAAAAAACTCCTATGCTATGCTATGCTATGCTATGCTATGCTATGCTATGCTATGCTATGCTATGCTATGCTATGCTATTTGAATAGCATAGCAGAGCAGAGCAGAGCAGAGCAGAGCATAGAATAGAATAGAAATCCCAATGGGATTTTTATCCCAAAAGTATTTTATTAAAATAAATTTGATAAAAAATAACAAAAATAACACGGTGGGCCTGGTAGGCCTGTTTTCCGCCCTCCCCAGGTTCCAGAGGCTTTCTTGGAGCCTGGAGAGGGCGAAAACAGCCTTCCCCACCCCCCTGGAGGCCCTCCGGAGGCCCAAAACTCAGCTGGCCGGCCCGCGCATTCATGACGGAGCTGAGCTAGGGCAACGCTTGTGTGCCCACCCATATGGCTCTGGGTGCCTCCTGTGGCACACGTGCCATAGGTTCGCCATCACGGGCCTAGAGGTTGTGATGGGGAGGAACCAGCTCTGACTCAACCAACCCCTTGGGTTTTTACTCCTATCTCAAGATCTAGTGATGTGTTATCTCTGACTTGCACTGGTGCACAATCTGAGGACTCTCCTGGACTTGCAGCTTCTGCTCAAAGAGCAGGAGACAGCCATACCTGGGGAGGGGGCTTTGCATCTCTCTTGCATGCCAGTTATACCATACTTATTCCTGGACCAAGAGGCCTTGTTCATAATCAGTCATGCCTTGATCACTCTGCTTAACAATTAATTACCACAACACTGTCAAATAATTTACTAAGACTGTATTACTATTATTCTTCTCTTCCTTACTAGTATCTCTTTCCACTTATTACTATAACCATGTTTCTTGTATCTTTCAGTTTATATTGTTTTTATTTGTTTCCTAGTACGATTTGATAGCTTATTAGTAACCTTGACTATTACTAAGTCTTGTATCTTTTTATTCTTGATGTATGTATTTTATTCTCTTTATGTACACTGAGAGCATATGCACCAAAGACAAATTCCTTGTGTGTCCAATCACACTTGATCAATAAATAAATAATTCTATTCTATTCTATTCTATTCTATTCTATTCTATTCTATTCTATTCTATTCTATTCTATTCTATTCTATTCTATTCTTGATCACTTCCTGCCTAGACTACTACAATAAACCCTAGATAGAGCTGCTCTTGATTTTATAACTAGTCTAGAATGTGGCATAGCACGCAGTGCCCCTTGTTTCACCCATATTACACTGCTGTTTGTGAACTACATTGGCTTCCAGTTGCAATTCAGGATGCTGGTTGTCCCCTTTGAATCCTGACATGGCATGGGATAAGATCATATTTGAAACTGCCTTTCCCTCTCTGCCTATCACATCAGGTTGAAAATTATGGGTGCATTCTGGGTTTTTTCCCCCTTAAATGTTGCCATCTAGCAGAACCTAGGAAGCCTGCCTCTTCCATCACAGTCCTTGCCGTTGGAGTGTCCTTCCTTTACGATTCGACAGCCCCATCCCCCCTTTAACCTCCTGGGAGGACCTAGAGGGCTGACTCTTTCCAAGCATTGGGACAGAGTGAGGTTGGAGCCTGGTGATAGTTTCATTGGAAGCATTAGAGAAGGGTAGGTGAAGTGCCAGGTTTTTGCTTTTATTCCTTTCATTGTTTTTTTTTTCTTAATTGCTGTTGTGAGCAGCCGGAATGGGCAGCCGCCGTATAAATCTATTAAATAAATAAAGATATCTTAAGTTATGAGGTTGGGCTCTGTGTGCACAAGATACGACTATTTCCAACACAGTCAACCTGCCAGATCCCTCTGGATGCCTCCAAGAGAGGCCTTATAGCCAGACCTACTTAGAGCACTCATTTTAGTAGTTCTTCTGAACCTGGTACTTTTCATAGCTTTCAGGACCAAAATTTATGTGAATACCATTTGTCTTAAGTTTTGGGGAGAATTTCAAGGCCTGTGTGGGTTTGAGCTTCAAAAGCTTCTGTTCTTCTCAATGTCCTTCTTATCTGCCTCTTAGAACAGTCCCAAAAAATGGACAGAAAGGAACCAGCTCTTCTACAGTGGCATCCTAGTTGCTAAAACTCAGGGATAGAGTGCTTTTAAGTAATACGGAGGTTCTGTGATTTAATCTACCCTTTCAAAGCTATCTATAGAGTAACTGCTTTTCATGGCAGCGAATTCAATGAATGAATGATGTGCGGTCTGTTTTGAATAGCTTGTCTCTCAGTCTTAAAGTATTATTCAGCTAGTCCTTGACTTATGATCAGTTGCTTAGCAACCCTTGGAAGTTACAGCATACCTGCTAAACAGGAAAAAAAAAAGGTGCAAACACTTTTATATTTCTTCAAGGGGATTTCACATAGACGTACCTTTATTTACTTAATTGCTTCAGCAATCCCTGTTTTATTTCCGCACCCCCATTGCTCATATCCTTTTCAATGGACTAGCTCTCCTTTCTTCTGCTGCCTGCCACCTCCACCTGCCATCTTCCATCCCTGTGGAAGATGAATTCATTAAATCCCCTTTTGCCTGTTGCATCTTTAATAACCATCATGCTTGGAATTATGTCTTTGTGATTAAAGAGATTGCAACGTGCAGGAGGAAAGTCACCACTTCCTGTTGTCGAAATGTGCTTTTGGGCAGAAAACTTCAGTTTTGGGGATGGGAGGCAGCGAAGCAGTATTTTATAAAGCAACCTCAATTCTGCTTGATCTTCCCTCTCAGCTTCGCCCCCTGGTATCTGAGAACATTCTTCCCATCTAAAACGTCATCCGTAATCTTCATATCTGTAATCGTCTCTGCAAGATCTCCCTGTTCCTGTTATGTAATTGGTTTAGTTGTAGCTACATTTCACAGGGGCAGAGTTTGAATGTGGGCGTTTTCCAGTGCCCACTGTCAATTTTGCAGTGCTATTTGATTCATCCCCGAGTTGTGGAGTGAGGTTTGGTGTGTGCTTTTCTCTGGACTGACTTTTACTGAGCCCAGGTCAGAGTGTGACACAGAAATGATGGCCTTTTACTTCCTAAAATTGCTTTGCAGCTGTGGAATGCAGCTGTTTATGGCCCTCAGCATTTAAAGTCACCCTTAACAGAGCTAATGAAAGGGGTTTGTGCAGAGAAAGCCCACTTCTATCAAATTGGTGGAGGGATACACAGATGCAGTGTGGAAGTGCAGGCAGTCCGGAAGCTGCCTTGGTGTGCATAAACCAATATAATCTGGTTTGATTAGCAACAGCTCTAGCAATTCAGGCAGAAAGATGCTTTTACCATCTGGGCTGGCTTTTAAACATGGAAAATGATGAGAATTAAAAACAACCAAGCTCAGAGAGCACCAAGTACCGCACAGTTCAACCCTGAGACACAGATATTATCTTCTATTGAGGAGAATTAAACTCAGAGCTTTTAAAACCTTGGTCATTTTCTAGCATGTCTGGTATTTTCAATTATAACTCCCCATTATCCTCCGTGTATCTCCTGTTTGGACTATCTCTCCTTTGAATTATTGCAATGGGCTCTACATGGGGCTATCCTTGAAAAATATCTGGAAGGTTTAGCTGGTAACAGAATGTGGCTGCAAACACAATCTTGAGCACCCAAAGAATGGTGCATTTCATAACTTTGCTGCACGAGCTGCATTGGGTGCCAGTTTGTTTCTGGGTTCAATTCAAGATATTGATTATAATCTTTTTGGATGAGCCGCTTTTGGATTCTCCCTCAGAGGCTATAGCCGGATCACCTATAAATACAAGAGAAGCGGCTTTGGATCTTGATTGGATGTCTTACCAAGTTAAAGACCAGCATGTAATTCAATCAGATAACATACAAGTCTTAGAAAGGCAACCATGGTGGAGATCTAAGCCACAACAAGTTAAGAAAAGAAGAAGCAGGTTCTACAAAACTAAAAAATTTTAAACCAAATTTTTTTTTATTTTTTTTTTGAAAATGGATTATAAAATTTGTGATAAATTTTCAGCCAACAGACTAATGCCAGTTATTTAAGAGACTATTGAACATAATAAGCGGGACTTATAGAAGGCAGATACATGAAAATATAACGGGAGGCAAATTATATATTTTGAGAAGAATAACAGATCTCTGCAGTGCTGGTGTTTTGGGCTGTGGAAGATGGCCTGTGATTGAGCGGACTGGAACTTTCTATTATGGACTCTATGAAAGATGGACTACGCATACGTTGAGCTATAAGGCAAGAGAACTATGGAATAGGGGCATGCAGATGATCTGGTTGTTACCCTAACGTGGTTGTTGGAATTAATAATCTAGACAAAAGACATTACAGAAGATACTATATGGAATATAAATATAAAGTCACTCGGGGGGATTTTTACATACAGAAATATTTATTAATGACGGGGGCAGATGGTAATTGAAGACACTGAATACACTGTTGGAAGCAGGATTCGATGTTACCCTAACATGGTCGATGGAATCAACAATCTAGTTGAAAGACATTATAGAAGATACTATATGAAATACAAATTTAAAGTCATTTGAGGGTTTTATTTATATATGGAAATATCTTTTAGTGATACGGGCAGAAGAATAAAGACATTAAATATATTATGTATGGTAGACCTGTACGAAAGTGGGTGAAATAAAATTGATATGGTACAAGGTGATAGGTTAGGTTATTGATTGCTTAGTTTAGGAAAAGGGATGTTATGTTTAGATATTAATATACTTAAAAGATTTGAATTAAGAGATATATGTATGGGGGTGGAGGAAATGGGTAGATTATGAGTAGAATAAATGCCAAATTAGGCTCTATTACATAGTTTTATAGCCGAATGCTGTTTTGAAATGTATAGCATACAGGGGACATTATAATAATGTTAGGAAGAAATGTTTAGCACATAGGGGGTGGTGTAAAAGGGTGGTAAAGTATTATATAATGTGATTTTAATTTGGATTTCATCTTGGAGAAGCCATGTGGGGAGGGGAGGGGGAGGGGGGTTAGGGAGGGGGGGAAGGGGGAAAATCTGTATTTGAAAAACTTTTTCAATAAAAAAACAACAAAAAAAATCCCATTTAAATCAAAATTATGATTTATTTATTTTTTTAATCAATTTTTATCCACCCTTATTTCTTCCATGCAATCAACTCTTATTTTGTACTTTTTCTATTGTATGGAGTATAAAATGAAACCCGATTCTGTGTCCTGGATTCCCTCTTTTCATTAAGGGAAATCTCTTTGCTACAATATTCTAATAAATTGCCTTTAAATTTACAGTCCCAGACTGTATCTCAGGAATTGAACTGAATTGAATTTTTAATTTCGCCAACTGCGAATAGACACACAAGGAATTTGTCTCGAGTTCACAAGCTCTCAGTGTATGTACAAAACATCAGAATAATGATATAATTATAACAATTCGAATAAGAGGAATTATTTATTTATCTTTTCTTCAATTGAGTAAAGAAGGGTTAATAATAACTGCCAAATAAGGGATTTTCTCAGGCTGAATAATAAAGGACTTTTTCTATTGTCCCTGCCATGATGGATCTGAAATGACAGGTGCTCTTTAATCGTATATTTATAAGCTGCTTAGGAGGTTTCACTTCCATTTTTACTGCTTGCCCTTCCCCCTCACACTTAGAGGCTGAGGGTACAGATGCATTTCTCTTCAAACAATCATACAGTTTGTAGTCTATGTACAGTATATTTGAAGAAAAATGGGGAAAAGCCCATGGGAGGTGAGGGCTTGGGCCTGGGCCACCCCTGCAGGGAAGGGGACGCAGCCATGACCCTCTTCTTTTTCTCCCCTGCAGGAAGACGGAGGATGGTGCCAGATGCAGGAAAAAGGCGCCGGCCAAGAGGAGGAGTAGGAGAGCGGGCCCCACGGAGTAAACCTGCCCGGTCCCGGCGCGGCTTCCCCAGGAGACGGCGGGGAAAGGCCGGGGGCTCTGGGGCTGCAGGAGCGATGAGCCGAGAGGGAGCCTGGGAAAGGCGGCTGCCTGGAGCGCGATGCGTGGAGGACGAAACGGGCGGAGACCCCGAGATTGGCCTGGAGGGTGGAGGCTCTTTCGGAAGACCCCGAAAGCCCCGAAGGATCCAGGAGGGAGCAAAGGAACATCAGTGCCCGGAATGTGGAAAAACCTTCAAAAGAAAAGATCATCTTCAAAGTCACCTAATTATCCACACAGGAGAGAAACCTCATAAGTGCCTGGAGTGTGGAAAGAGATTCAATCTGAGGGGAAACCTTTATACACATCAAAGGATCCACTCGGGAGAAAAACCACATAAATGCCTTGAGTGTGGAAAGAGATTCAGTCAGAGGGGAAACCTTTATACACATCAAAGGATCCACTCGGGAGAGAAGCCATACAAATGCCTGGAGTGTGGAAAGAGATTCAGTCAGAGGGGAGAGCTTTATAGACATCAAAGGATCCACTCAGTCCCAGAACTGAGTTTGACTGCTGTTGGTCATTCTTATGGCAACCAGCAGAGCAGGCTGTCCTGGGAGGGGCGGGAGGCCTTGTATGAGTCTGGATGTCCATCTGTCAGTGATTCAGGAATGTTGGATTCTCAACTGGGCAGCTGTGGACGAGATCCCTGCCTGATCCCTGTCCAAGGGCTGCTGTTGAGGGCTGCTCTGACACAGGATCCAGCCCTCCCTCCGCCCGGCCTAAAGCCAGTGCTGCAGTGCTGCCTGTCCCAAGAGGAGATCAACCCTGCTGGTAATTCAATCAAGTTCAAAATTCGAGGAGAAAATTTCGCTCTCTCTTTCTGTCCGTAAACTTGGCACCATCTAACAACATGGTGTCAGGAAAAGGTGCCTCACCTAAGCAGAAATAATGGGGGGAGCTCACCCGGGATGATGGAGCAAAACACAAAACAGCAGGGCAACCCAAAGGGAATGCGATGGGAAGTTCACCCAGAGCTACGTTAATGAGTGGCGCTTCCCTGAACAGAATGCAGCCTACATCCAAAGAGCTTTGCCTTTTGTGCAAAAAGGTTAGAAAAGGGCAGCTTGAGTGTTGGTTTGTTCGCCTCCTACAGACATTTGCCTGGCATTGGTGCACATAGAAAAGGTGGAGCAGGTGAAGTTTCATAGGGAACCTGCCATCTCTTAGGGAACTCTGAGGGCTTTATGACCTCATCCATGCAGGCTAAACTGCCAGTTACTGTCAGTTGTCAGAGTGAAGATGCCTTCAAGAGGTTCGTCAGTCTTCAGAAGGGCTCCTGGACTCTGGGAAATCTTCCTTCTATTTGCAGCCAATTTATCAAGAATTGGATTGCAAGGACGAAAATGCCCATTTGGCCCCTTCTTAGGAAAGGGAAGCAGAGAGAAAATGAGAACACCCAGCCATTTTCCCTGTTACTTTTAATTGTTGGCTGATGGATTTAAATCATGTCTTCATCTCCAAACTCAGGCACCAAGTTTGGTGTGGAGCTGAAAAGAATTTGATGACCTGATTTGAGAGACTTCAAGAGAAGCAAAGGGGTTTCTTTGTCCACCTGAAAATACAGATCCTCAAATAATCCAAGCCAAGCAAAAACATTTATTAAGGGAGGGGGGTTCATGTTTTTAAGAGGGCACAGAAACAAATGGTACATACATTCAGTGTCAGGAAACAAATGATGAAACAATATGAAGCAACAGCATCACACAGTCCGTTTAACTTGCTGTGAATTCACTTCCTTCCTTAGACTTTGCCTCGGTCTCCTCCTCCTCTGCCCTAGGCCTTTTCTCAAGGGTTGGTCTTGCAGGAGGAGGGGGGGAGATGGGGGGAGGAGGCTTCTTGTGTAGGACATCTGTGAGCTGATGTTCAAAGTTATCCAGAGGAACCAACGTCCCGAGTTCAGGATACTAATCCCTACAGAGAGCAAAGGAGAGAAAACAATTCTTTATATCTAAAATTATTATTTCTATTCCTGGATCATTGTGGTTGGGAGAGCTTTTGCTCTGTGATGGGGAACTGTGAGAGGTAAAGTAGGGAATCGACCAGAGAGGCTTATAGAGAAGGAACGTCTCTTCTCTTCCCAAATTCAAGGCTGCCCAGAGACGGAGCGTAGGCCAAGCCCTTCATGAGCCTCAGAAAAGAACTCAGTCAACAATAATGTGATAAAAGGATTTCTGGGACATTCTGCTCAGGGAAGGAATTCTCACTTTGCAAGTTGCTCAAAATAAGCACAATTTCTGGATTATGAATTCTGCCAAGCTTATAAGTCACTTGTCAGTGATTTCTGTTCTCTGAAACAAACTCTGGATTATTAAGCTATCGGCATTAGTAAGGAAGCCAAGTTGTTTATATGAAACAAAATAAAAACCCCGTTTTCTAGAATTTTTTTTGTTAATCCATCGAACTCTGGTTCCCAACATGAAACACACCAGTTTCCTTCTTGTATCCTAGAAGTGTAAGAGCCACCTATTAAGCAGACTCTTAAGACTATTTTCAGGTGCTGGTTTCAGGCTAAACTTCAGCTGCCTTGACTCGCAACTAATTTTACTTCTGAACTATTCCCACAAACTAAGTCCACCTTCAGCAGCTGAAGCATCAAACCCTAAAGAACCGAATGCTTACATTTTTCCATCTACGCCGGAGAAGATGGAATCAAGTTATCAGCAATCACGAAGTGGTGGTTACACCCCAAGCATTTCACTATCACGACTCCAGGATGAGAAACCACCTTGGAAATAGTTTTTACAGATCGTGTCCTGCATTCCTGTAAGAGAAGCCAGGATCCTCTCGGGTGGTGCTCTGGGATATCCAAGGGCAGGAAATTTGAGACACGTACCCAGTTATTTAGGTAGGACTCCTTTTATTAAACTTGGAGAGCAGCCCAACTGCTAATGACGCTGGGTGGCTTACAAAAGGGAAAAATAAAAGAGGAAAAATACATGGGGAAAACTCTTATTATATTAAAAATGAAGCCCCCCTGTGGCTCAAGGAACAGCCTAACCCCCCTCCCACCAGCCTAGGAGCATGTATGGAAGGAGGGTCAAGAGCCTTATTTTCAAGGGAAGAATGAACCCAGGAGAGAAATTTCCAGGCGCATGGAAAGAACTGTGGGCAAAATGGAAATTGGTAAGTTTCCCCACAAGGTTCCAGTAGCAACCCCTGAATCTCAAGATCCAAGTGTTTCTTCTTCTAAGAACATAGTAGATAACAGAAAAGCAGAAAAGCAACCTGAGATCCATTACTTAGGAACACGTACTCGTCACCTTCTCTAATATTTTCCCTCTTTTCTGCAGTGTATAAATATACCTATTGGTCTGCAGTGGAGTCTCCCACTATTCTTTTGCAGGACAGCCACTGCGGTACATACCGTTCAATAAACACAGCAGTGAGCCTGGATTATTTGCTTTGGGTTGTGCCTTTTGATTCACACTGGGCAAAACGGTGCACAATAGGACAATTCTTGGGACCAATATACCTCTATAGAATGCGTCCAAAATAGAGGACCCATATATTCCTTTGGGATCGAAATTTGGAAAGTTGTGCCTGTTTTAGTGCTGCAGTGCTCCTGTGCAGCTGCGGTGAAAGTAAAAGAGTTTCCAACACTTACAGAAAGCTTCTCGCCAGCTACTGGGAAACACTATGGGGAGGTATATAAGCCTAAATCCAATTGCTATTTTAGTGACACCGTATCCATCGCATGATTATATGAAATCTACCAGTGGGACAGCTTGCCTTCCAAAAATTGTAGGTGCTTTATCACTGGAGGCTTTTAAGAATAGACTGGACAGCCACTTCTTTCAAATTGCAGTGTCTCCTGTTTAAGCAGGGGGTTGGACTAGAAGACCTCCAAGGTCCCTTCCAGCTCTGATTCTCTATCCTGACGATAGTGAAAAAAAGGAGCAGCAGTGACACGATAGCACTGTTCCAATTCCTGAGGGGCTGCCACAAGGAAGAGGGGAGGGGTCAGCCTATTTTCCAAAGCACCAGAAGGGAAGACAAGAAATAATGGATGGAAAATAACCAGGGAGACAAGTAGCCTGGAATTCAGGAGAAATTTCCTGACAGTGAGAAAAATTAAGCAGTGGAACTGCTTGCCTAGAGAAGTTGTTGTGCTCAATCACTAAAGTCTTTTCAAAAGAGATTGGGCAACCATTTGTCTGAAACGGTAGAGGATTTCCTGCCTGAGCAGAGGGGTGTGAATCAAAATCAAATTCGTATTTCTTCTCTCCTGTGTGGATGCTGATATGCCTTTGAAGATGTCCATTTCTTGTGAAGAATGTTTCACATTCCGGGCACTGATATTCCTTTGCTTCCTCCTGGATCCTTCGGAGCTTTCGGGGACTTCCGAAGAAGCCTCCACCCTCCAGGCCCGTCTCGGGGTCTCCGCCCATTTCCTCTTTCCCGCATCGCCCTCCAGGCAGCCGCCTTTCCCAGGCTCCCCCTGGGCTCATCCCTCCTGCAGCCCCGGAGCCCCCCGGCCTTTCCCCGCCGTCTCCAGGCAGGGCTGCTCTGCGGGGCCCGCTCTCCTCCTCCTCTCGGGCGACGCTTCCTTCCTTCCTCCGCCGGGCTCCTCCATCCTCCTGCAGGAGAGAAAGAGAGGTGGGTCACGGCTCCATCCCCTTCCCCACACGGGAATAGAATAGAATAAAAGTTGGAAGGGACCTTGGAGGTCTCCTTGATTAGTTTCCACCCATTGCTTCTTGTCCTGCCCTCCTCAGGTGCTTTGGAGAATAGCTTGGCCTGCGCACTGCCCAGGGTTGTTATGGTTCCACGTGGAGGTGGGCCGCTTAAATTTGGGGGTCCGTTCTGCTTCCCCCCACTCCCCGCATCCAGGCAAGCGGACTTTGTGGAGCCCTTCTGCGGCTGCAACCTTCCCCCACAACATTGGAGGATTCCCCATAGGCAAGATTCGGAGGGCGGCATGTTAGGAAATGGTTTTACCTAACTTGTTGGGCTGGCAATATATAAACCATCGATATAGCTTTAAGACTGCTGTATTGCTGTATTGCATCCTACTGTGTCCTGATTGGTTAGCTCTGTAGCCAATGTCCTTAAGAGGGAGCCAGAAACCTAGTTGGTTTCTCTTTACACCCTTTGCTGAACTCTTTGCTGATCTTTACTGCTTCTTCCTGTGTTTGCTACTGTTTGCAACTGTTAATGTGTATGACTACAACGACTGGACTTTGATATTGGGCTATTCCTAGCATAGTATTGTTTTACTATCTACTACTTTATATGTATATGACCTGGACTGTTTATTGGATTGTGCCTTATTACTATTTTCCTAAAAGTAAACACAACTCATAGTATCTGTGTGTTGGCTGTGTTTTATTCGTAACTACTCTCAATCGCTTTCATGTGCACACCCTTGCTACTCAAGGGTTGCTCTGCAAATTCCTGAACAGGGAATCCTTTGGAGGGACTGCCCCAAGGAGTCCTCCAGCCAATCGCTGCCGTCCCCAGAGCGACCAATTGGTGTCCTATATTTTCAGTCACCGAGAGTGCGCCTGCGTGGTGCTGACTCCCTTTCTGTTCTTGCCCAGAGGTGAGACTGGGGGGGTCTCCCTTTGATCTTTGGGGTCACGTCTTCTCCTCCGACCCCTCCCCCGCATTCAGGCAGGCCGAGGTTGGGGGCCCCTCCTGGGTTTCTGACTTTCCCCCCATCCAGGGTCCCTCCCTGGGCAATGTGGGGGGAGGTCTTGGGGGGGCACAATTTGACATCATTTTAAGGTTCTTCTTGTTTTGCACGAAAGACCTCAGGTGATCTGATGCTGGAGGTCTTTTTAGAAGTTTCTAGGAAATTCCCTTCTCAGCTAACAGAATAAGAACAACCGAGCTGGAAGGGACCTTGGAGGTCTTCTAGTCCAACCCCCTGCTCATGCAGGAGGCCTTATTCCAAAGGTGCTTTTTCAAGAAGCAACTGGGCTTCATTTTTCCTTGAAGACGTTTCACTTCTCATCCAAGAAGCTTCTTCAGTTCTTCAGAACCAAAGAAGCTTCTGGGATGAGAAGCGAAACGCCTTCAAAGGAAAAAAACAGAAAGTCCAGTTGCCTCCTGAACAAAGCACCTGTGGGACAATCCTGACCTGGATGACGGAGAATCTCTACAGACTTTGAGCGATGCAATTGGGCTGAACCCCCTTTGGATGGTGTGCGGGTGTGAATGGATTTCCAGAGGAAAAAATTGCAGACTGCAAGAACCATTCGCACCACTCAGGTGACCCTGAGGAGACAGATAAACCTCCAGGGGATTCAACCACCCTCTCAAAGTTTGGGGATTGAGTGGAAATATGAGTTGGAAACAGTTGTGGACAGTTGGACAGCTTTTCTCCCAGAATGGGCTTGTTTTGCCGGATTGTTTCAGGAAAATTTTTGACCTCTGTGGGTTCCAATTTGGGGGCTATTTTGGATTATTTTTAAAGCACTGTAGTGATAGTCCTTGACCTACAACTATTTGCTTAGTGACTTAGTGAAGTGCTTAGTGCTTCACTAGCAGCACTGAAAAAAGTGGCCTTGACCAGTTTTCACACTTACGACTGTTCCAGCATCCCCGTGGTCATGTGGTCAAAATCCAGGCGTTTAGCCACTGGCATGTATTTATGACGGCTGCGCTGTCCCAGGGTCACATCATCAGCATTTGTAACCTTCCCAGCTGGTGTCCCACAAAGTCATTGGAGGATTCACATAACAACTTCACAACTCACTTCACAATTGTAGGATATGACCTGCCAATTATGGCAAAAAATGGGGTGCAGCAACTGTCAAGAACAGAAATTTTTGTCTCAATTCTGATTGGAGATCTAGTTAGCACTTCCTGTACAGTTTGGGGGCAATATATCCATCCGTCATGAATGATAACCGCAAAATACATCCCAGAGACAGTAAGAAGATTAAGTCAGCCAGGCCCTCCCCCCCAGCTGCCTTGCCAGCCCCTCCACAGACCCTGTCATATAAATAGATGCCTCATACAATAAGAATTTAACATATACACTCCCTCCTCCCACTTTCTCCTCAAACCACTCCTTACCTCTGTTCCCGCCCCTTCAGTATAAAAGGGGCATCCCACTCTGATCCTGCACTCTTCCAGAAGCAACCTGTGAATAGAAAATCCTCCTTGACTCCCTCCATTGTTTGGCTGATTACCAGCATAGTCTCCTCCAACTCTCCTCCTATTTGTTTGGCTGTTTCCAGCATTTTGAATTAATTTCCAACATATTTCCACCGAGTCTCAAACTCTTATCTAGTTGGTATCCATCCCACATATTTTAACTGTAATATAATTATCTGTTTTATATCATTTTTCCATCCTGCTCTTTCAATTTAAATCTCAGTATATTTCATAATAGTCATCATTTCCAACTTGTATTACCTTAATTCAAGACTAATCACTAGCATCTGTGTATTTTGTATTTTGTTCAATCAATCCTTATGCATCAGTTTAACATTTGTTTGCAAATTAAAATTAAAACATATTACATCAAACGGTACATTTTCTTAAAATTTTCCTGCCTCAAAATATATTCTTCTTTATTATTTTTATCCTCTTGATATCATCCACTATTTTAGTAGCCACCTCTTATTTTCTATTTTTATTATTTCACAACCCTTCCTGTTTTTATCCCAAAATCATATATACCTAGGCTTTTAAACTTTATCATATATACATAGGCTTTTAAACTTTACATTTCAGTTAGTCACATTTAAATTTTTCCACTTTAATTCTTCCTTTTCTTCCTTTTCCTTTCTGTCCAAAGTGCTCTATTTCAAGGTTCATCAGTTCAAAGTAAAGAATTTCTGTATGTCCCTTTAAAACTTTTAAAATGTCTGATCCAAGCGTAGTGCATCAGCTTCCTGTCTTTGTTAACTACGCCACACCTAGTTTTGTCAGTCTCCATTGTTAAAATCCAAAATGTTCTTTCTTTCTTCTTTCTTCTTCCTTAAAATCATCTGGGACAGAGTAGGAATCTCCAAAATCCTTATATCCAATATTAATTTCAAGTAATCCAGGGTAAAAAGCCAATTAACATGTTTCTTTTCCACCCAGAAAGGGAAATCTCTTTAATCCACTTTTCTGTTTAATCACTGCAGACTCCATGGCTATTTTGTAGCCATCCATCTCTATCTTTATTAGCTTCATTTTCTTTTAGAGGCATTAATTCTCAGGAATATCCATTTCTCCTCTCCACTCCAGTTAAAGGCATAGTCAAATTTCAGAAATTTATTAATACCAAATCATCCAGTTTAAGTTTACTGCAACAAAATTCAATTTGGGTCTTTTACCCATTTTTTTTTCCTTTTCAATCTTTAAGCCCCGCAGTCCAATAGCCGCTTTTAATTTTGGGGTCTTATTTTCCAATAATTCCAAATAGGTACGTTATTGCCTGGCTTGATGTCACCCACCCGGCTTCTTGATTTTTGCTCTTTCTTCATCTTCTTCCTCCAGCACAATCCTTGTTCCCGGTTGCCGCAGTTTCAGGGCAGCCACCATGGCTGCTGTCCCGCTGCCGCCAGCGTGAAGGAGAAGCCTCCGGCCCCGAGGAACCCGCCCATTCCTCTCAGCCGCCCAAGGCATTCCTTCTTGTCCCCCTGTCCCTACAAGACAGGGGAGGTCCGCAGACCTATCGGCGGCAGCTTAGCAGAGGGGATTTGGCAGGGCTCAGCGGAGCTCGCCATTTCCCTGTCTATGTCCCCGCGGCGCCAACCGGAAGTCCAATGTGAAATTTGAGGTAAAATTGGTTTTTTCTTAAGTTTTGAATTTCTTTTTTATCTTCTTCTTTTTTCTTTCTTTTCTTTTTTTTCTTTTTTTTTCTTTATAAAAGATGTAATGGAAATTTTGAATTGAGCTTGTGAAAGGAATGTAAGCGTGGTAACCATCTATGACTGGGTCAAGATTTTTGCTCTTGAAAGTTATTTATTTATTTATTTATTTATTTATTTATTTATTTATTTATTATATTTCTATACCGCCTTTCTCCCGTAGGACTCAAGGCGGTGTACAGTCAAGAAAAATATAGACACACAAACATCATAAAATTGCTAATTAAAATTATTACTTAGTTTGGTCAATTAAATAAAACCCAGAATTAGATAACATTTAAAAAATCATTCACATGTTCATATGTTTAGCCCCGCCTGTTGGAACATCAGGGTCTTGAGGGCACGGCGGAAAGCACGGAGATCAGGGATATTCCGTATCTCCGGGGGCAGTTCATTCCAAAGGGTTGGAGCCCCCACAGAGAAGGCCCTCCCCCTGGGAGTCGCCAGTCAACATAATTTGACTGACAGTACCCTGAGTAGTCCCTCCCTGTGAGAACGAACTGGTCGGTGGGAGGCTATTGGTGGCAAAAGACGGTCTCGTGGGTACCCAGGTCCTAAGCCATGGAGCGCTTTAAAGGTGATAACTAACACCTTGAATCGCACCCGGAAGACCACCGGGAGCCAGTGCAGCTTGCGTAGGAGAGGTGTTACATGGGCGTAACGAGCTGCGCCCATAATCACCCGCGCGGCTACATTCTGGACCAGTTGGTCCATCAAATGATCTTCTAAAGATAACCATGAATCCAGGAGGACACCCAAGTTGCGGGCCCTCTCTGTGAGGAGCAAGATCTCATCCCCTATTGTCAGTGATGGTACCAGCTGACTATACCGGGACGCCAGAAGCCACAGCCACTCGGTCTTGGAGGGGTTGAGTCTGAGCTTGTTTCTCCCCATCCAGATCCGCACGGCCTCCAGGCAACGGGACATCACAGCAAGGGCATCATTGGGGTGGTCTGGGGTGGAGATGTATAGTTGTGTGTCATCAGCATACTGATGAACACTCACCCCAAAACCACGGATGATCTCGCCCAGCGGTTTTACATAAATGTTGAACAGAAGGGGTGAGAGGACTGAGCCTTGCGGCACCCCACAAATAAGGTGCCTCGAGGTCGACCTCTGCCCCCCTGCCAACACAAACTGCGAACGGTCAGAGAGGAAGGAGGAGAACCACCGAAGCATGGTGCCCCCTATTCCTAACCCCTCCAGCCGGTGCAGTAAGATACCATGGTCGATGGTATCAAAAGCCGCTGAGAGATCTAATAGGACCAGGATAGAGGAGCAACCTCTGTCCCGAGCCCTCCAGAGATCATCCACCAACGCGACCAATGCCGTTTCCGTGCTGTATCGTGACCTGAAGCCCGACTGGAATGGATCCAGATAGACAACTTCATCCAGGTATCGGGGTAGTTGTCGCGCCACCGCACTCTCAACAACCTTTGCAACAAAGCAAAGATTGGAGACTGGACGATAATTTGATAATATAGCTGGGTCCAGGGAAGGCTTCTTGAGGAGGGGCTTCACAACCGCCTCTTTCAAGGTGGCGGGAAAGACACCCTCACTCAGAGAAGCATTTATAATCCCCTGGAGCCAGCCTCGTGTAACCTCCTGGGAGGCCAGTACCAACCAGGAGGGACACGGGTCCAATAAACATGTGGCAGCGTTAAGCTTGCCCAGAATCCTGTCCACGTCCTCAGGAGCCACAGAGTCAAACTCTTCCCAGATAACGCTCTCAAGACCTGCCCCCGTCTCCTCCCCTGGATCTACCCAATCGGAGTCCAGGCCTTCCCGAATCTGAGCGACTTTATCATGCAGGAATTGTACAAAATCCTCAGCTCGACCCTTTAAGGGATCTTCCCATACCCCCACCTGAAGTAGGGAGCGGGTCACCCTAAACAGCGCAGCTGGGCGGTTCTCTGCAGATGCAATATGTTTTAAATTTATGTTTAAATTTGAAAAAATAAATAAAAAATATTTACAAAAAAAAAAAAAAAGAAATTATACAAAGTATGTTTCGGCTTTTTTATAGTGAAAGCGTGGCAACCACGACCAGAATCTCAAAGGATTTCTTTTCTGCCAGAATTAGGCCAGGAACATCCATAAGTGAACACCTTTTAATGTTAAACGCCAAAAGAACTGAGTTACACCTTAGGGGAGAAATCATATCTGACCAAACCATGAAGAATGTAATAATCAACTCCCTAGACCCATCTTGGAACAATTTCATCACACACTTAGATACTCTCAGCTTAGGTCACCTATCCATAGAAAGCCTTTCAAACAAACTTATAGCTGAGGACAATTTAAGAAAGAGTCGCAATAACACACTTAGGGAACACAAGCCAACGAAGAAAGTATTCTTCCAAGATAGACACCAAGACACAAATCTGCTACATCTGCGGATCTAGGGGACACTATAAGAGAGATTGCCCTAGAAACTCTAGTGAGAGATACAGACAATCATCAAGAGAAAAATACAAGCGTAGAGACTCCCCCAACCCCAGGCACACGAGAGAAAGCAGAGACAACTCCAGGGACAGTAGATCTGGATCACTATATGGGGTAGAGGAACCCACAAAATTAACCAATCAGGATAGAGAAGACAACCTATGGCTCATAGATTCTGGGGCCAATAATCACACTACTTGTAACAGACAGTTTCTATCATCATTCACAGAAGAACAATTCCTAATAAAGGTAGCGAATCAAAATGAAGTAAGAGTGACAGGGAAAGGAAACATACTATTGCCGGGAATAGGAAAAATAGAGGGGGTGTTACTAGTCCTGGAAATACCACACAACATTCTTAGTGCACTCAAACTTAGCAAAGACTCAAACGTAAAAATAACATTCACAAAAGGAGAGGTATTCCTAAGTAAGGATAAAGAGAATATAAATAGAATCACAATCAAGAAAGGATTACCCTACTTATACACAGGCAAACACTATCCGATTAAGGTAAATGCAAGCATAGAGACAGACAACACCATTGAAAATAACAATAATGAAGCTATCAAATCAGATAGCACAGAAACAGGGAATGATGATAGAGATACGTCTAAGGGAAAACCACTAATAGGCAAACCACTACACGATGAATGTGCACACATGCTTCATTGGAAACTAGGACATGCCAGCTTCCCTGTAGTTCAGAAAATGAGTAACTTTGCTGAAGATGTTAAAATAAAAGATTGTGAAAACTATCTTGAATGCTCGGTATGCAAATGCTCAAAGTTAAAAACTAAGCCTAGACCAAAGAAAGCATCACGAACCACCACTCACATATTCAATCTAGCGCACATGGATTTGGTAGGACCCCTGAAACCATCTATAAAATATAAAAAAAGATTTTTTCTCACCATCGTAGATGACTATAGTCGCTACGGCTTCGTATATACATTAAGACACAAAAGCGAAGCCTTTCAAAAATTCAAGGAATTCTACAAGCGAGTAGAAACTCAATATAACATACAATTGAAACAAATAATGACTGATAGGGGATCAGAATTTTTGTCAGGGGAATTCATCCGCTGGCTTAGATCTAAGGGCGTGCTATACTTCACTTCTTGTCCGTTCTCAGCCTTTCAAAATGGCGTCGTAGAACGACGAAATTCCACCCTGCAAACCATGATAAGATGCGCCCTGGAAGATGCAGGATTAGGTAAACACTTCTGGTCTGAGGCTTTAGTATACTCCAATTACACACTCAATAGAACCTGGTCCAGTGTTATAGATAAAACACTTTATGAGCTAATGTATAACAAGAAGCCAAAAATAGCACATCTACATGTCTTCGGAGTCACTGCGGACGTCCACATTCCGAAACAGTTAAGACACAAGGGGGATAAAATATCTAGAAGACTAAGGTTCATGGGCTATGAACCAGGTACCAAAGGGTACAGATATCCAGAACAGCCGTGTTCCATGAACAAGCGAATCGGTCTAAGATACACCTTAATGAGATACACCCTAGACAAGCGTTAAGATACAACACACAAGATCATGAAAGGTAGGACATTCAAAACATCACAAAAGAAAGGGAACCTAAGGATACACAGCTAAGAAACACTACTAAAGAATGGAAAGGTGAACGCCCAAAAATCAGAGTAGATTCACTCACACAAAGGGAAACAAAATATTTACATGACAATAACTCTACACCAAATAGACCAGTCAGGGCCAATAGAAATCAATTACCCAAAAGATTTGAAAATTACATAATGCATGTACATTCCAACACAATTCCACCAAATTCATACGGAGAAGTAATGAAACTTCCCCTTGAAGAAAGATTAAAATGGGAGTTAGCTATGTCAAAGGAAATGGAAAGCCTTAAAGAATTAAATGTATTCACCCCCGCCATAGTACCAAAAGATAAAACCACAATAGGGACTAGATGGATTTTCAAAATCAAAAATCTAGAGGGAGGTAAAACTTTATACAAAGCACGATTGGTAGCGCAAGGATTCGCTCAAAGGTATCCAGAAGATTATACTGATACATATTCACCAACAGTAAGAGCAGAAAGCATTAAGACTGCATTAGTAATGGCTTCAGTACTAAACCTAGAAGTATACCAATATGACATCCAAACAGCATACTTACATGCAAATCTAGACAAAGAAATTTACATAAGGGCACCACCTAGTAAGGATAGGAACGAAGGTGACACATGGCTACTTAATAAAAGCTTATACGGTTTAAAACAGTTGGGAAAACACTGGTATGAATGTCTAGTTAAAGTACTCGAATCAATAGGTTTTACAACGACTTCAGCAGACAACTGTTTGTTCACCAAAAGAGAGGGAGATTCACCAGAATACGTACTGATATACGTGGATGACATTTTATACATTGGAAAACATAAAGAAAAACGAGATGCCTTTGCCAGCAAATTAGAAAATCATTGAAATCATTAGGGAAAATAAATAAATACTTAGGGGTACAAATCACCCGAACACCAAAAGGATTCTGTCTTTCACAAAAAGAAAAAATTATAGAACTGTTACACAAGTGCAATATGTCCGATGCCAAACAATGTGATATTCCCATGCAACCAGACTTTTTGAAAAATATGCATAACCTGTCACCCGAATTCAAGGACAATACACTCTACAGATGTACCATTGGATCTCTCCTATATATAGCAAATTGGACTAGACCTGACATAGCTTTGCCTTTGAATTTATTGTCAAGACACGTGGGTAAACCAACTGTATATCACTGGGAAGCTGTAAAAAAGGTACTAAGATATCTAAAATGCAGCTCTGACACTTGCTTATACTTAGGACCAAACAAACTTAACGAAGTCATGCTCACATGTTATGCAGATGCCGATTGGGCTGGAGATGTAAAAAGCAGGAAGAGTACGTCGGGGTATATATTCTTTATTCTTTCTTTCTTTCTTTCTTTCTTTCTTTCTTTCTTTCTTTCTTTCTTTCTTATTTAAATTTGTATACTGCCCTTCTCCCGAAGGACTCAGGGCGGTGCACAGCCAAAATTAAAATACATACAATACAAAATTTAAAATAATTTAAAAGCAGAATTAAATCAAATTGGCTTCCCAAAATATTAAAACCCATTACCCTTAAAATAACCCATTTAAAATTATACCAGTCCTGTACACTGGTATACAGGAAAACAAAACTTAGTTGCAACTTCAACAACAGAAGCAGAATATATATGTCTTTCAAAGGCTGCCAATAATCTCATTTGGTTTGAGGACCTGCTCACCAGTATTTGGTCAAGACCATCGCAACCCATAATCATACATGAGGATAATAAAGCCGCAATTGAAATCTCCAAGGCAGAAGCCATAGGACAAAGGTCTAGACACATAGACATAAAGCATAAGCATGTGAGACAATTATCAAAACCAGGATTCATTAAGGTGGTACATTGTGACACAAAAGAACAAATAGCAGACATTTTAACGAAACCTTTACCAAATAAGCAACATGCTTATTTAGTGCCTAAGTTATGCATTCACATGTAAATCTATGGACAAGAGATAAATGTAACCCTCACATATTCGGCATCTAAAGGGGGATTTGTCATATAAATAGATGCCTCATACAATAAGAATTTAACATATACACTCCCTCCTCCCACTTTCTCCTCAAACCACTCCTTACCTCTGGTCCTGCCCCTTCAGTATAAAAGGGGCATCCCACTCTGATCCTGCACTCTTCCAGAAGTAACCTGTGAATAGAAAAGGACATGTCAATTAATAAAGACCTTTGCTTTAATTGAATAACGAATCTGTGTTTCTTATTGAGTCTGATCCTCAAAACTAGTCACAGACACCCCCACACACACGGATTCATCTTCTCCTTTCTCATCCCTCCTCCTTCTCATCTCTCCACCTACACATCAACACCCAAAGTATGAAGAAGAAACAGAGGGAACCTGACGTCTCAGAACACGAGAGCAAAGATGAGATTTCTGCCATTACTGGTGGGATGAAATTCAGGAGGATTTAAATTTTTCAAAACACCTAATAAAAAGAGGTGGAGGTGGAGTTGCACTTAAACAGCTGCACCTTTGTAGAAATGCAAAAAGTAAAAAATGAAGAAAACCTCCTTGAATGCATTTGGGTTAATATGAAAGGAAAACGGAATGAGGTTGCCAGAGGTGTATACGACGGACTGCCCAATCGGAGGAACTAGATCAGGGGCGTCAAACTGAAGGGTGCTTGGATCTGGCCTGTGGGGAACAGATCGGACTGGCCCACAATGCCTCTGCCAGCGAAAACAGAGCTCGGGAGGGAAGCGTGTAGCCCTACCGGCCCCATTTTCAGCTGCAACGGCCGCCTGCACTCCTCCGCCCCCAGCTCCATTTTCACGGGCAGAGGATTAGGAAAAGAAACTAAAAGCAAAAGAAATGTTTCCCCTTTTGCATTTGAGCATCCAAGAAGGGACAGGAAAGAGGAAAGGCAAAGAAGGAAAGAGGAGAAGGGAGGAAGGAAGGAAAAAGAAGGAAAGAGGGAAGGAAAAAGAAGAAAAGGGAAGGGAGGGCAGGAGGAAGGAAGGAAGATTATGAGGGAGGGAGGTTCTAAGGGAAATCCTGTTGTAGCACTTGGCCACCACAGGTGCCCACAAGAAGAGTGAAGATGAGCTGGCCACGGCTACCCAGGGATCCCCCCCAGGTCAAACATAACCCTGATGCAGCCCTGAATGAAATAAGAAATCATTTAGCTGATGAACAGAAAGCAGAGGAATGGGGGACTTTCCCTATCCTGGCAACTGGGGAACACCCAGTCTCTGCACCTAGTGGGAGATCAAAGAGGTCCCCAAAGAGTCTTATTCATTTAAAATGTTCTTATAACTGCCCATCTTTCAGTCAACTCTGTGCAGCTCCCAAAAGGGTGTTTTCAAAAGTATCCAACACATTAAAACATAAAAGAAAAACCATCAAAGAAAAACCTGGGGCCAATCCATGCCACCTTCTCCTTGTCTGATCTCCCAGCGCCTGGGGAAAAGCCAGGTGTTTTAAGGCTAAAAGGGTGGGGGCTTTTTAAGAATATGGCTCATATCTCACAAAGCTTCCTTGGCGTTAGAGAGTCCCTTGTAGGGGTTTCTGCTGGAAGACAAGGGGACCATTCAGGGAATCCAACTGACAGCTTCAGATGCTTGGGGATAGTCTTAATAGGTCCCCACATTTGGGAAATCCACATAGATTATATCAAACAATGGCAGGGAGAAGCTCCTTTGCACCCCCAACAATAAAGGTCAAATGAGCCCTAGATTCAGCCACAGCACACTTGCTCCAATGAGGATCTGAGTGGGATGAGCATTTAAAGGCAACTTATTAAGAGTATTGTAGCAAAGAGATTTCCCTCAATGAAAAGAAGGAATCCAGGACACAAAGAGCGGCTGATTCAAACTCAGGATCTCCGAAGGTCCCACAATAGACCCAACTGGCTGCCCTTCATGGGCTCATATAAGGCTTCAACCCCTGACCTCTGCCAGCCTCAATATAGGGGGGGGGGACCAGACCCCAAAGTTCAAAGGAAGCCCCCCCTCCCCCTTGTCCCACCTCCACCCCGGACCATAATAACTTGCGGAACTGCGCAGGTACCATCTGGCTTGTTGCAGGAAGAAGGACACAGATTGGTCGCGCTCGGGATGTTGCCGATTGGCGAATGGACTCCGAGGGGCGGATCCTCCAAAGGAAAAGGCGGAACTAGTGGAGGAAAAAGGGCATGAAGCCTCCACTTCTGGAAACAAAACGGGCAATGAGGAAGCTGTCTGAATCATCGACAGAGGAGGCCGTTTGATGCAGGTTTGGTGCAGGGGATGCTGGGAATCGTAGTCCGGGAGAGTCTCTCTGGAGGCCTGGGAGCCCGAGGCCTAGTCTGGTAGGCGGGAAGGACGGAGACGGGAGGCTGGGAAGGAGGCCATCTCCGCCTGGAGAATGCCCGGGAAGCCCATTGGAGGCGGGGGCTTGGGCCTGGGCCTCCCCTGTGGGGAAGGGGACGCAGCCGTGACCCTCTTCTCTTTCTCCCCTGCAGGAGGACGGAGGATGGCGCCAGATGCAGGAAAAAGGTGCTGGCCAAGAGAAAGAGGAGAGCGGGCCCCACGGAGCAGACCTGCCCGGTCCCGGCGCGGTTTCCACAGGAGACGGCGAGGAAAGGCCGGGGGCCCTCAGGCTGCAAGAGCGATGAGCCGAGGGGGAGCCTGGAAAAAGCGGCTGCCTGGAGGGCGAAGCGGGGAGGAGGAAATGGGTGGAGACCCCGAGATGGGCCTGGAGGGCGGAGGCTCCTTCGGAAGACCCCGAAAGCCCCGAAGGATCCAAGAGGGAGCAAAGGAACATCAGTGCCCGAAATGTGGAAAAACCTTCAAAAGAAATGGACATCTTCAAAGCCACCTAATTATCCACACAGGAGAAAAACCTCATAAGTGCCTGGAATGTGGAAAGAGCTTCAGTCAGAGGGGAAACCTTTATACACATCAAAGGATCCACTCGGGAGAGAAACCTCATAAATGCCTGGAGTGTGGAAAGAGATTCAGTCAGAGGGGAAACCTTTATACACATCAAAGGATACACTCAGGAGAAAAACCACATAAATGCCTGGAGTGTGGAAAGAGATTCAATCTGAGGGGAAACCTTTATAGACATCAAAGGATCCACTCAGTAGAAAAACCACATAAATGCCTTGAGTGTGGAAAGAGATTCAGTCAGAGGGGAACACTTTATATACATCAAAGAATCCACACAGGAGAAAAACCACATAAATGCCTTGAGTGTGGAAAGAGATTCAGTCAGAGGGGAAACCTTTATACACATCAAAGGATCCACTCGGGAGAGAAGCCATACGAATGCCTGGAGTGTGGAAAGAGATTCAGTCTAAGGAGCACCCTTTATACACATCAAAGGATCCACACAAGAGAGAAACCTTATAAGTGCCTGGAGTGTGGAAAGAGATTCACTCTGAGGGGAAACCTTTATAGACATCAAAGGATCCACTCAGGAGAAAAACCACAAAAATGCCTGGCAAGAAAGGTAATACAATCCAATTAAAACTTTCACTTTTAATAAATTTAATACATTTTTTTCTTTTAATAAATTCCTTTAGTCTTCCAGGGCCATGCCCAGGGTCCCAGGCCTGAGTTTGACTGCTGTCGGTCATTCTGATGGCAACTAGCAGAGCAGGCTGTCCTGGGAGGGGCGGGAGGCCTTGTATGAGTCTGGATGTCCATCTGTCAGTGGTTCAGGAATGTTGGATTCTCAACTGGGCAGCTGTGGACGAGATCCCTGCCTGATCCCTGTCCAAGGGCTGTAGTTGACCCTCTTCTCTCTCTCCCCTGCAGGAGGACGGAGGATGGCGGCAGATGCAGGAAAGAGGCACCGCCCGAGAGGAGGAGGAAGAGGAGAGCGGGCCCCACGGAGCAGACCTGCCTGGTCCCAGCATGGCTTCCCCGGGAGACGGTGGGGAAAGGCCTGGGGCCTCCGGGGCTGCAAGAGGGAGGAGCCCAGGGGGAGCCCGGGAAAGGCGGCTGCCTGGAGGGCGATGCGGGAAGGATGAAACGGGCAGAGACCCCAGGACGGGCCTGGAGGGCAGAGGCTCCTTCGGAAGACCTCCAAAGCCCCGAAGGATCCAGGAGGGAGGGAGGAAACATCAATGCCCGGAATGTAGGAAAACCTTCAAAAGAAATGACCATCTTCAAAGTCATCTAAGGATCCACACGGGAGAAAAACCTTATAAGTGCCTGGAGTGTGGAAAGAACTTTAGTCATACCAGCAACCTTTACAGACATCAAAGGATCCATCTGAAAAAATGCCTGGGGGGTGGAGGCTCCTTCGGAAAACCCCGAAAGCCCCGAAGGATCCAGGAGGAAGCAAAGGAACATCAGTGCCCAGAATGCAAAAAATCCTTCAAAAGAAAAGGAAATCTTCAAAGCCACCTAATTATCCACTCAGGAGAAAAACCTCATAAATGCCTGGAGTGTGGAAAGAGCTTTCATGATAGGAGCACCCTCTGTAAACATCAAAGGATCCACTCGGGAGAGAAGCCATACGAATGCCTGGAGTGTGGAAAGAGATTCAGTCAGAAGGGAAACCTTTATACACATCAAAGTATCCATTCAGGAGAAAAACCACATAAATGCCTGGAGTGTGGAAAGAGATTCAGTCTGAGGGGAAACCTTTATACACATCAAAGGATCCACTCAGGAGAAAAACCACATAAATGCCTGGAGTGTGGAAAGAGATTCAGTCTGAGGGGACATCTTTATAGACATCAAAGGATCCACACAGGAGAAAAACCTCATAAATGCCTTGAGTGTGGAAAGAACTTCAATCGGAGATCACATCTTGATCAACATCAAAGGATCCACTCGGGAGAGAAGCCATACGAATGCCTGGAGTGTGGAAAGAGATTCAGTCAGAGCAGCAACCTTTATGCACATCAAAGAATCCACACAAGAGAAAAACCACATAAATGTCTGGTAAGAAAGGTAATAAAATCCAATTAAAACTTTCACTTTTAATAAATTCAATATATATTTTTCTTTTAATAAATTCCTTTAGTCTTCCAGGGCCATGCCCAGGGTCCCAGGCCTGAGTTTGACTGCTGTCGGTCATTCTTATGGCAACTAGCAGGGCAGGCTGTCCTGGGAGGGGCGGGAGGCCTTGTATGAGTCTGGATGTCCATCTGTCAGTGATTCAGGAATGTTGGATTCTCAACTGGGCAGCTGTGGACGAGATCCCTGCCTGATCCCTGTCCAAGGGCTGCAGTTGAGGGCTGCTCTGACACAGGATCCAGCCCTCCCTCTGCCTGGCCTAAAGCCAGTGCTGCAGTGCTGCCTGCCCCAAGAGGAGATCAACCCTGCTGGTAATTCAATCAAGTTCAAAATTCGAGGAGAAAATTTCGCTCTCTCTTTCTGTCCGTAAACTTGGCACCATCTAACAACATGGTGTCAGGAAAAGGTGCCTCACCTAAGCAGAAATAATGGAGGGAGCTCACCTGGGATGATGGAAGAAAACACAAAACAGCAGGGCAACCCAAAGGGAATGCGATGGGAAGTTCACCCAGAGCTACGTTAATGAGTGGCGCTTCCCTGAACAGAATGCAGTCTACATCCAAAGAGCTTTGCCTTTTGTGCAAAAAGGTTAGAAAAGGGCAGCTTGAGTGTTGGTTTGGTCGCCTCCTACAGACATTTGCCTGGCATTGGTGCACATAGAAAAGGTGGAGCAGGTGAAGTTTCATAGGGAACCTGCCATCTCTTAGGGAACTCTGAGGGCTTTATGACCTCATCCATGCAGGCTAAACTGCCAGTTACTGTCAGTTGTCAGAGTGAAGGTGCCTTCAAGAGGTTCGTCAGTCTTCAGAAGGGCTCCTGGACTCTGGGAAATCTTCCTTCTATTTGCAGCCAATTTATCAGAGTTGTATTGCAAGGACGAAAACGCTCATTTGGCCCCTTCTTAGGAAAGGGAAGCAGAGAGAAAATGAGAACACCCAGCCATTTTCCCTGTTACTTTTAATTGTTGGCTGATGGATTTAAATCATGTCTTCATCTCCAAACTCAGGCACCAAGTTTGGTGTGGAGCTGAAAAGAACTTGATGACCTGATTTGAGAGACTTCAAGAGAAGCAAAGGGGTTTCTTTGTCCACCTGAAAATACAGATCCTCAAATAATCCAAGCCAAGCAAAAACATTTACTAAGGGAGGGGGGTTCATGTTTTTAAGAGGGCACAGAAACAAATGGTGCATACATTCAGTGTCAGGAAACAAATGATGAAACAATATGAAGCAACAGCATCACACAGTCCGTTTAACTTGCTGTGAATTCACTTCCTTCCTTAGACTTTGCCTCGGTCTCCTCCTCCTCTGCCCTAGGCCTTTTCTCAAGGGTTGGTCTTGCAGGAGGAGGGGGGGGAGATGGGGGGAGGAGGCTTGTTGTGTAGGACATCCGTGAGCTGATGTTCAAAGTTATCCAGAGGAACCAACGTCCCGAGTTCAGGATACTAATCCCTACAGAGAGCAAAGGAGAGAGAGCAATTCTTTATATCTAAAATTATTATTTCTATTCCTGGATCATTGTGGTTGGGAGAGCTTTTGCTCTGTGATGGGGAACTGTGAGAGGTAAAGTAGGGAATCGACCAGAGAGGCTTATAGAGAAGGAACGTCTCTTCTCTTCCCAAATTCAAGGCTGCCCAGAGACGGAGCGTAGGCCAAGCCCTTCATGAGCCTCAGAAAAGAACTCAGTCAACAATAGTGTGATAAAAGGATTTCTGGGACATTCTGCTCAGGGAAGGAATTCTCACTTTGCAAGTTGCTTAAAATAAGCACAATTTCTGGATTATGAATTCTGCCAAGCTTATAAATCACTTGTCAGTGATTTCTGTTCTCTGAAACAAACTCTGGATTATTAAGCTATCGGCATTAGTAAGGAAGCCAAGTTGCTTATATGAAACAAAATAAAACCCCAATTTTCTGGAATTTTTTTTTTTTAATCCATATAACTCTGGTTCCTAACATGAAACACACCACTTTCCTTCTTGTATCCTAGAAGCGTAAGAGCCACGTATTAAGCAGACTCTTAAGACTATTTTCAGGTGCTGGTTTCAAGCTAAACTTCAGCTGCCTTGACTCGCAACTAATTTTACTTCTGAACTGTTCCCACAAACTAAGTCCACCTTCAGCAGCTGAAGCATCAAACCCTAAAGAACCGAATGCTTAATTTTTCCATCTACGCCGGAGAAGATGGAATCAAGTTATCAGCAATCACGTAGTGGTGGTTACACCCCAAGCATTTCACTATCACGACTCCAGGATGAGAAGCCACCTTGGAAATAGTTTTACAGATCGTGTCCTGCATTCCTGTAAGAGAAGCCAGGATCCTCTCGGGTGGTGCTCTGGGATATCCAAGGGCAGGAAATTTGGGACACGTACCCATTTATTTAGGTAGGACTCCTTTTATTAAACTTGGAGAGCAGCCCAACTGCTAATGACGCTGGGTGGCTTACAAAAGGAAAAAATAAAAGAGGAAAAAACTGGGCAAAACTCTTATTATATTAAAAAATGAACCCCCCCCCCCGTGGCTGAAGGAACAGCCTAACCCCCCTCCCACC